AGAAAGTCATGTGATGAATTAGTAGCTGAGACTAGAATTCAGACAGGGTGTGCACACAAGACACACATTAAGCTTAATCTGTATAAATGTTTTCTCCATCACTTTCTTTTTGTTTTTTGTTTTTGGGGTTTTTTTTGGCTAGGCAATGGGGTTAAGTGACTCGCCCAGGGTCACACAGCTAGTAAGTGTTGTGTGTCCAAGGCCAGATTTGAACTCAGGTCCTCCTGAATCCAGGGCTGGTGCTCTATCCATTGCACCACCTAGCTGCCCCTCATCACTTTCTTAAGTCTAGACAATGAACAAAACAAGAAATCAAGCCCTGGTTTTCAGCTTTTGCTAATTTCAGAGATATAAGTTATACCTTGAAAATGAACAGCACCAGCTGGATTTGAGCAGGGTTCAAGCTGGCTCCAGCACACCCCAGAATCAGCTCAGAATTGGAAGGGTACATCAGAAGTCATCTGGACCTGAGCAAGGCCTCTGAGAAATGAAAGAGTTAAGTTTCCACATAAATAGATAAGAAATCAGCACAGACAGGCTAACTTCTCTGTCCAGGGTAGAGAGTGATGACACAATTCCAGGCACATAGTGTATGTTAAGGATGGGGGCATATAAGGAAGATTGTAACCCAGAAGGATTAGGACCAGCCCTGGTCCAGAAGGGAGGAGTTAGGCAGTTACTAACTATAAAGCTTGCCCTGGCTTCTTTTACTAGTGCATTCTCCCCTTCCAAGGAGATGTGCCCGCTTCTCGTGAGAATCGAAAGGATGCACTTCAACCTCTTTAATAAAAAGTCTTTGAGACACCAGTCTTTGGAATTGAGTCTGGGGCCCTCTTTATAACAGGACCCCTCTGCAACGTCCCTGACAAAGAGACACCTGGCCTTCCCTTGAATTTATTTAGTGACTGGAAGGTTATTATCTAATGAGATGGTCGAGTCTCACTGCTGACACATAGTGACTGTGTCGTCCTGGGTAAGTCATTTAACCACTCAGTGCTCTACACAAGACTAGAAGTTGAAGAGAAGGTGCCCAGTTGCATTGGCAGAGGATCTTTCCTCATCTGGGAGTTCTTATAGTCTGTCCCTATCCCTGTCTAATTGTTAAGTGTTTCCTTATATGAAGATGAAATGTGCTGACTTGTAACTTTTATGCACGTAGCCTAGTCTTAATCTTCCGCATACAGCCCTTCAGATAATAACAACAGCTAACATTTATATAGCACCTGCTACATGTCAGGCACTGTGCTTAGCGCTTTACGAATATCTCATTTGATCCTCAAACAACCTTGGGAGGGAAATGCTATTATTATCCCCAAATTACAGATAAGGAAACTGAGGCAGACCTAGGTTAAGAGATTTGCCCAGGTTCACACAGCTAGAAAGTGTCGGAGACTAGGTTTAAATTCATTGTTTCCACCAACTCTTTTATTCTCCAGGCTAAAGCTCCCTTTCCTTTGTTCAGTCCTTTTGGGGCATCTTGCATCCTTAGCACCCGCTCCTTCCTCTGGACCCACTCCACCTTAGCAAATCTGGAATTCTTTCCTCCGTATCGCACTGTCATCTGGACTTGTCCTCTCTGCCTTTGTCCCTACTTTTTGATGTTATTTCCCTTAGATTCCCAGCTTGTTATCTCCTCTTCAGAACTAACTGAATTCAGGGCTTCCAAATGCCTCTTACACCTGCAAAGACAAATAGCTAACTGCCTTTTTCACTTCTCAGAGAACCTTCTCTCTCCCCTCTGTCCCCTCCCATTTCTGCTTCTGTGACCCACCTAAGGATAAGATTCCCTTTGTCCATCAGCTTCCTCCCCACAGGCCTAGGCCTTGTTTAATCAGCCCCTGAGGTAACTGGGAAGGGAGGGAGAGGGGCACTTCATTCTCTGAGATAGATTTGTCTTGCAAGTGAACAAAAAGTCAAGGGGTCTAGAATGTAAATTTAGGCAATTTTTGCTTTTTTCTTTCTTGTTCCTGTCCTGACCACAGCAACAGAGTAGACCTTCTAGGCAGATATCTCATTTCCCACTCAGGGTCCACTTTCCACACCAATGTGGTGCCCCCTTCCCCCACCGTCTTGATCCTTGTCTTTTTCTCTTTGCCTTCAATGATTCCTAAATAAATTGGCTAATCTGTAAACCCCAAATATTCTCCCCGAGCAGCATCTATTGGATCTGCTTTGTTCATTTGGAAAACAGAATTAATTCGTTCTACTATGATTTTTTGCTTGCCTGCTGTCTGTTTTCCTCTACCTCCCCTTTTTAAATCCCTTGCTCATGTCAGAGTGGGAAAGGGACCTTTGAGATCTTATAGTCCAGAAATGTCAAACACAGCCTCTGGAGTGCTGTGCAAAGGAGATTAAAATGTAACTGGGAAATCTTTAACAAAATAAATAAAAATACAGCACAGCATAGATAATGTTAATTTGTGGTTTTCTAAGTCAATATGAAATTGATTCCACTGGACTGTAGTCCCAACCCTAGTCTTTTTACATGTAAGAAATCTGAAGCCCAAGAAAGGCTTCCCCAAAAGAGGAAATGACTTTCGTAAGATCATCTAGTTAGTTAAAAGCAGAACCCAAAACCCTTCCTCCACCCTCAGCTACCTTCTGCTCCCTCCTTGGGGTTTGGCAGCGCATCTCTGATCACACATTCTGTGTTCTCAGGGGCCCCTGCTGTCTTGGGCAGTAATCACTACACGTTTGGATGTCTGTTAGACCGACTGTGATGTGAAGCAAATCATTTAAGCTCTCTAAAGTGAAGGTGGCAAACACTTGCTCTGCAAGACCTAATGGCTGTGGAAATCACGTCATTTTTTTAGGGTCTGTATGGTATGAGGTACAGTGCATCATTAATTCCCTTCTGATACTTGGGCTTTTAGCATCAGAGCTTGGAGGTCATCTAATTCAAATCCCTCATTTAACAGTGTGGGAAACTGAGGCCCAGGGCAGCAAAGCCACTTGTTGAAGGTCGCACAGCAAGTTAGTCATGGGGCTGAGACCAGAACTCAGATTTCCTGGTAACCAGCCCAGTATTGAAATATCTCCTCTCTTCCTTCCCATTCTATTAATTAAATGTTGTCTCAGCAATGGTGCCGTGATGGCTGTGGAAAATTACCTGAGTTTGCAGCAGGGAAATAGGAGTACTCAGGAAGGTTTTGCATCTGGGAAATATCACAAGATCACAGGCTCTTCAAATCTTTGAGTCTGGGGAAACTGAAATCCATTTAGCAGGATATTTCATCTGTGAGTCATTCTTTCCTCATTGGTCAGATGAAAGGGTTGGACTATGTCAAGGGTTCTTAACTTGGGGTGCTGGGAACCCCAAAGGGTCTGTGGATAGATTTCGTGACCTCATGTGGGCAAAACATGACATTTTAATTTTCACTAACCTCTAATTGAAATTTAGCATTTCTTTTTTCATAAAATTTTTATTCATCTTAAACTTAAATACAATATGGGAAAAGAAAAAAGAACATTTCCATGTATACAACAGAACACAAGAGAATATTCAATATAAAATGATAAATTTCCATTTCAAGAAAACCTATGTAATAAATACTACACATTGTTTTCAAAGCTGCCTACTTTTTCTTTACTTCCTTGTTGGTTTTCTTTTGTTTTCTGCTGTGCACTTTTTACTGTATTGCCTCCCTACTCCAAGAAGACTACAATTAAACTCAGATATGTGTGTATGTGTAGGTGTATGTGTATATACACATATATATGTATATACATACATATCTATACGTAGATATCTATAAACATACACATATGTAAACATATACCCCTCTACATTCATATACATACATGTAAGATCATACTATGCTTATTTCTACTTGTCATCTGCTTCTCTGGAGGTAAATAGCATTTTTCTTCATAGGTCCGAGTCTTTCTATGTTTTTTCTAAATCAACCAGCTCATTGTTGCCTATATCACAGTAGTATTCCAACACATTCACATCCTATCTGCAAGATTGTCCATGAAGGTTTTTCCCAGCATTTCTTTCAATTATGAATGTGGGAAAGCAGCATAATTCAGAGAAGGGGTGTGTAGGCTTCCTCTTGGACCAGACCCTACTTGAGGTTTTCTTGGCAAAGATACTGAACTGATTTTCTGTTTCCTTCTCCAGCTCATTTTACAGATGAGAAAACTGAAGGAGAGTAAAGTGACTTGTCCAGGGTCACACAGCTAAGTGTCTGAAGCTGGATTGGAGCTCAGAAAGATGAGTCTTCCTGACTCCAGGCCTTGCACTCTATTTACTGCACCACCTGGCTTCCTGGTCCAGTTCCTAGCCAAGCCTATATACACATATACACATATACACACTTCTTATGTATATGTTTACATATTGTTCTCCCCAATAGAATGTATCCTCCTTGAGGGTAGGGACTATTTTAGGTTTGTCTTTTGTGTCCTAGTTTAGCATGGAATCCTGTACACAGTATATGCTTATGTGGAAATGAAATGAAATGCAGGCAGAGATGTCTTATAGTCAGCCCAATACATGTGTCTAAAGCATAGAGTGGGGATGGAGAGATGTCCAAAGCTAGAGACATAGACTGGGGAGACGTGTTGGTATTTTGAATGTGGAAATAGCTGACCTAGTCAATGGAGAAGGGGGTTGGCTGGCCAATTCCCAGGAACATTGCCACTCTCCTTTTACAGGGAAAAAAATGTCAAGCATATCTACTCACACTCCCAGAGCTCGTGTTTGTGCTGTTTGGGAGAACACAATGAAGGATCAGATAAAATGCAGGGGAATCTGGTTCACATGTCTCCATGAGAGAAGTGTAACTAAGCCACACGCGCTGTAGCAATCTATTCCCAGAGTTGGCTTCTGGCCATCAGGGCGCTAGCTACGTTTGGGGAGCAGGCTTCCAGCCTGGGCCCCTTCTTTCTGGGCTTCCATGAGATTGGAGGGGGTCAAGACCTTGCTTGGATCACTCTCCCCATAACCAGTGCCACCCTTCACCTAATGAAGATCAATTTCTTATTCTCGTTCTTAGCTGAGATGCCTCGACAGTTCCCCAAGCTGAACATTTCAGAGGTGGATGAGCAGGTGCGACTGCTGGCCGAAAAGGTGTTTGCTAAGGTGCTCCGGGAGGAAGACAGCAAAGATGCCTTATCGCTGTTCACTGTGCCCGAGGACTGCCCCATTGGGCAGAAGGAGGCCAAAGAGCGCGAGCTGGAGAAGGAGCTGGCTGAGCAGAAGTCCGTGGAGACGGCCAAAAGGTGGGTCTGCTGGCCTCTTCCCATCGGCAGAGAAACATCTGCCGATCTACTCAGTCTGTTATCTGGCTTAGGTACTGGGGACCTGAAAAACAGACTGGCCCTAGACTCAAGGCTTTAGGTTTATTTCTGAATGGGCAACACTAATCAGTTTTAAATCTGGTTGAAATGATCTAAAATCTTAATTCTCCCTGCCGCTTTAATAGCTGATTGGAGGTAGTGGGGCAGAGTGGGAAGGGTGTTGGAACTAGGAATCCAGGAATGCAGGCTTGGCCTGTGCCCCTAGCTGGGAGGCTGTGGACAGGTCACTGTCCATCTGAATCTGGTTCTTCACCGTGCTTCAGCGTAGGATCATGGATTTAAAACTAGAGGAATGTAGAGGTCGTCTGCCCCAGCCTTGGCATTCTCCCCTTGTGGATCCTCCAGGCAGAAAGCGTTTTTAAAGTGCTGACTATGTGCTAGGCACTGGGGCTTTAAAGAGTAAGAGAAATAGTCCTTGTCTGCAAGGAGCTTACATTCAACAGAGGGAAACAACATATGTGTATATATATATATATATATATATATATATATATATATATATATATGGCAGCTTAATACAGCGGAGAGGCACAGGGTTTGGGTTTAAATCTTAGCTCTGCCGTTTTCCACCCTTTGTCACCTTGAATACATTGATTAATTTCTCTTGGCTTTGATTTCTTTAACTGTAAAGTGAGGGGGTTGCATAATATGACTTTAGAGGTCGTTTCTGGCTCTAAATCTAGGATTCTATTTTCCTAAGTAAGGACAAGGTAATTTTGCAGATAAGGAAACTGAGACCTCCAAAGAATTAAGTGACTAGTTCAGGGATATATTAAGTAGGTAAGTGTCAGAGGCAGGATTCGAACCTAGGTACTCTCACTCCAGATCTGCTGCATCACGTTGCCTTGCCAGCATCTTCCCATTCACCCCAAAAAGTAGTCCTCTCCCTTCTTTCCCCGATATACTCAAATACGCCCTTTCTGTTTCTTAGCATTCCTTTACAGATTCACTCTGCTCTGAGCTTGTTGTGGCTTTCAGCCCCTTAGATGACAGGGTTCGCCCAGATAGCTGAGCCAGCTGACTGGCCATGGGCATTTTGGGGCAGCTAGCTGACACAGGGGTTAGAGCACTGGGCCTGGAATCAGGAGCTCAAATCTAGCCTCAGGTACTAACTAGCTATGTGACCCTGGGCCAGTCACTTAACCTCAGTTTGCTCATCTGTAAAATGGGGATCAGGATAGCACTTACCTGCTAGGGTTGTTGTGAGGCTCAAATAAGATAATAATTGCAAAGCACTTAGTACAGTGCTTGGTACATAGCAAACACTATATAAATGTTAATTATTATCATTGTTGTTATTATCCCATTTTGGACTCAGGTCCAGAATTTTTACTTCCACCTTGGATCCAAAACTTAAGTCATTAACAGAGCATTTCCAGTGTAACTTTAAGGACTTTAGGGAGATACAGTCCACTTCTGGCTTTAGTGTGGCCTGGTGAAGAGGAAGCTGAGAATTTGGTGCAAAAAGAAAAAGACGTAGAACATCTCGGGGGCTAGTGCCAGGGAAAGAGGCTTGACTTTCTGCTGGGGGCTTAGGGCCTGCACTTCTGAGTCAGTGATGCTCAGGTTCACAGTGGACAGTGAGCAGGGACTGCATTGGCACTTTTGGCTTCATAGGGTCCTAGATCATGAGCTAGAAGGGACCTCAGAAGCCTTCTGGTCCAATACCCCCCCTTCCGATTCCCCCCGTTTTTATAGGTTTAACAAAAAAGGCCTTTTTGCTTTTTTTTGTTTGTTTTTCTAGGTGAGGCAGTTGGGGTTAAGTGACTTGCCCAGAGTCACACAGCTAGTGAGTGTTATGTGTCTGAGGCTGGATTTGAACTCGGGTCCTCCTGACTCCAGGGCCAGTGCTCTATCCACTGTGCCACCTAGCTGCCCCTCCTTTTTGCTTTTGTTGAGGTCAGATTTGGGAGAGCGGTCTGAGTGTGAATTCATTTAAACATATTTGGCAGCCAATGGAAGCTTTATTGTGTGAAAGCACACGAAAGGCCTTGTTAGCCAGAAGCTAATGAAAGGCCCTGATATTTGGCTTATATAGGCGTTTCAGAATGATGATGAGGGTTTTTTTATGGGGTTGAAGATTAAGGACAAAAGGATGAGGAAGGAGGTTGCTTACAAGATAAGGAGGAATTTTGTGACACAGGATGAGGGAGATAGTTGACAGAATAAGGAGACCAGGGGGACACAGGATAAAAAAAAAAGCAATTCTTTTGGTCTTACAAGATAAGGAGAAGTTCTATGGTATTTCAAGATAAAGGGAAAAGGACTTTAGGATGTTTTCAAGTTACAGAATAAGCCCCAGCCCACCTCAAGAGGGGCTTCATGAAGTACTAGAAAAGCACCTCTTAATATTCTTTTTAACCCTTAGGTCACTATATGTTGTGTCCACATCATATTGTCCAAGGCACCGAGGGAGCTGTAGATATGAATAAAATATGGGGCCCTTCCCTTGTGCACCATCACAGATACCGTTGTTCCTACAACACAGAAGTCAAAGCCCTGGGATTCCTACCCTGTTTTTGTCACTGACTCTCCCTGGGCCCTTGGGAAAATCACTTGGCCCCTCTAGGCCTCAGTTTCCTCCCCAGGGAAATCATTAGGTAAATGGCCTCTGAGGTCCTGTACATCCATGAGAACCCAGGAGTTTAAGGGTACTTAAGGTCACATGGGTAGGATTTGAATACAGGACCTCTGACTCCTGACTTTTCATTGTGCCATGCTGCCTTTAAGGTTGCCCTAACAATTTTTATTTTTAGTTATTATTATTATTATTTTCAAAAAGCTGGGACAATTTTTTTATCCTGTGCATTTTTTATAATTTCTTGAAAAATATGGAAAACAAGCTTCTAAAAAGGTTGTTTCCTAGGCAGCCCAGTGGATAGAGCACCGGCCCCTGAAGTCAGGAGGACCTGAGTTCAAATGCTCCCTTATATACTAGTTGACCCTGGGCAAATCACTTAACCTCTCATCTCAAATGAGATGAGAATACTGGGAAAGCACTGTATAAATGCTAGTTATTATTATTACTATGCTGCCTTCTAAGAAGGGGCATTGTCACCACTAACAGATTTCTTCATCAAGCAGTTTTTCCCCTTCCTTAATAGATGACCTTTATATGGTCTTGTGATGGAAAAAAAAATCACCTGGTAGCCAAACTTCTGGTGAGGAATCTTTCGGCACCTGGTCCTTGGCCAACATTTACATGGTCCATTAATGAAAAGACTCTTCTAGAAGATTAGTAGGACTTTGAGAACCCAAAGTCTCCACCATGATCCATCAGAGGAGGATGTCAGTGAAGATGGGCAAGAATTGTATAAGTGAGGCTCAAAGAGGGTGAGCCTGGACCCCAAGTTCATATAGAGGGGAAGTGGTGGAGGTTGGCCTCACACCTAGCTCTGGAGACTCTTGGTGTTTTTTCTTGGAGATTTTTCCCTCTAGCATTTTCTTAAGCATTCCCATGCTTCCATTTCCTTTTTTCCTTTTTTTTTTTTCAGTGAGGCAATGGGGTTAAGTAACTTGCCCAGGGTCACACATCCATGCTTCTTTTCCTTAAAAAGAATCTCATAATAAGAGCCAAGAAGCCCTTCTCAAAAGTCTACTGATGAATGATAAGGATCATTGATTTAGTCCAAGGAAGGCCATTTAGTCCAAACCCCTCATTTTACAGATGAAGAAACTGAGGCTAAAAGAAGTTAAGTGGCCTACCTAGGGTCCCACTGCTAGGCACAATTTGAACTCCAGTCTTCCTGACTCCAAGTCTAGCACTGTGTCATGTCGAAGTCTTTGGAAAATCATTTTGGTAGCTATGTGGAGGCTGGATTAGAGCGGGGAGAGATTTGAGGTGGGAAGACCAGTTAGGAAGCTGTTACAACAGTCCAGGTGAGGGTTGATACAGGCTTCACCTGGGTAGAGGTTGGTACCCATTACTGAACCAGGTTGCTATTGAATGTCTGGAATTGAAGAGGACACGGAGCCAGGAAGGCACTGCCAGTGTGTCTGGGTGTCACACACAACAGGATGGAACATGCTAACATAGGTACCATAATTCTCAGCTTGTTAATGGTCAGTCCAGTGCCAGTGATTAATCTGTTCAAAATGACCCAGTCTTCAGCATTAATGAAGACTCTGTGTCCCTGCAGAGAAAACCTGACCCTCTGGCCAGCTTTTCCCTGGACTTAATTAACTGCTTTCTCTTATCATTGGCTCCTAGAAAGAAGAGTTTCAAGATGATTCGATCCCAGTCACTTTCTCTGCAAATGCCAGCCCAGCAAGACTGGAAGGGTCCACCATCATCCACCCCTGCCATGTCGCCCCCAACGCCAGTCCCCGCAGGAGCGGCTTCCCAGGCAGCTCCTGGGTCATTTGCTATGCCTGAGTTTCAGCGCGTCACCATCAGTGGAGATTACTGTGCTGGGGTAAGAACTCCCCCTTCCCTTTCTCTTCCTCCCTCTGGAATCAAACGCAGTAGTGACACAGAACACTGTGCCCTGCCCCAGCTCCAGCTCCCACCCCCTAGGCGTGTGGGGGAAAGGCAGACAGGGTGCTCTAATGGAAACATTACTGGCTCTGGGGTCAGAGGAGCTGGGTGCAAGTCTGGCTCTGACATTTACTCCCTAAGTGACCTTGATTAAAATAAGTCACTTAACCTCCCAAGGCTTCAGATCATGGGCTGTGCAGCAAGGAGGGTGGGCTAGGTAGCTTCAAGGTTCCTTCCAGCCCTAGATATAGTCAGTCACTCGATACACACATTATTTTATAGGGCCAAATCCCCCCTTTACCATTGCTACCCATGTGACCATGGGCAAGTCAGGCATCCTCTCCGAGCCTTCATTTCCTCATTTAAAAATGATGGACTTGAGCCAGACAGACTCTGAGGTCCCTTCTGTATCTAATGAGATAATATGTGGAAAGTGCTTTGCCAGCCTTCTATAAATGTTAGCTCTTAGCATGATCATTGACATAGGCCTGGAGATAGCTCAGTTCAGGGACCAGTGCCTTACTGAGGCAGTTTGAGCCTGGCCACAGAGATCCAGCAGCCTCCCAGAGGGCAAGAAAGGAAATCTTAGACTGCTCCTTCTCTCCTTCTGGGTTGGAAGGGGGCTAGGGAAGGGAGAGGCCCTGGATCAGGGGCTGGAGGAAGGGAAAGAATAATCCTATAGCATGTGAGAGGAACATGGTGCCTGTTGAAAGGATGACCGAGTGCTTTCTCCAGGAAGCCAGGAGGTCTCCCTCCGGAGGATAGGCTAGTTTAGAGCCTGCTAAATAATGGTTGGTTATTGGGGGTCGGGAAGGAATCGGTACAGGAGACGGTGGGTCTGTTCCTTTGAACACTTGCACTGCTAGGAATAGGTTTAGGTCTTAAAATGCTGCCATGTCTTGGACCAAGAGCTCCAATAGACATGACTTCATATATCCTCCTAAGAACCCCGGGGGTGGGGAGTGGCCCTGTTTTACAGATGTGAAAACTTATGCACACCGAAAGAGGAGAATTGCTCCATGTCACATGGTTAGTGACAGTCACCACTAGAAGTCCAGTCAAGAAAACGAGCAGGTAGCTCTCAAGTCTCTCCCAGTCTAATGGGAGATTGTGGTTGTTCGTCCTTCATTCTGGAAGAGGACCATGACATCAGGGAGGTGATGCCGTGACTGGCAAGTGAATTGTATTTAAGTGAGGGAGGGCTGGGCAAAGTCTGCTTTCTCCTCCAGAGCCATCTGGGTCCAGTGGCCAGATATAGATTAAGACCACTGGAGATGGCACCCATCTAATAGGAGACAATGTGCAAACAACCCAGGGCAAACAAGATATCTATATGTGTATGTATAAATATATGTATAGATATAGCATGTGTGTATGTACATGTACTTGAGATATAGTACATGTGCTTATTATATGTAATATATGCATATCTTTATAGACAGAAGATTAATTGAAGATAATTTTAAAGGGAATAAGGATAGGCTTATTGACAATGACAGGACTTGCAGGAAGCCAGAGAACCAGCAGGAAGAGTGCTCCAGGCCTGGGCACAGCCAGTGAAAGAACAGAGTTTGGAGGTGGGGTGTCCTGTGAGAGACACGTCAGTGAGGTTGGTGTCACTGGACCATGGAGTCCCTGGAGAGGAGTGAGGTGTGAGAGGACTGGAGGGGTCCAGGTGATGAACAGCTTGAAAAATGAAAGAGAGAATTTTCTCTTTGATCCCAGAGGTCATAGGGAGCCATGAACAGGAGGGAGGCATGAACAGATCTCAATGGAGGATGGACCACAAAGTGGGGAGCCTTGAGGCAGGCAGACCAATCAGCAGGCTGCTGCAATAGCCCAGGCAGGAGGTGATGAGGGCCTGTAGCAGGCTGATGACAGCAGCAGAGGAAAGAAGGGAGTATGTTGAGATATTAGGAAGGTGGTATTGATGGTACTTGGCAACTGAGTGAATAGGGGAGGTGAGAGAGAGTGAGGAGTTGAGGAGGACACCTAGGTTGGGAGCCTAGGTGACAAGGGAGATGGTGGTGCCCTTGACACCATTGTCTTCTCTGGGAATAGGGAAGTCAGGAGGAGGGGAAGGTTTGAAGGGAAAGATTATGAGTTCAGTTTTGGACATGTAGAGTCAGAGGCGTCTGCAGTATATCTAGTTTGTGATGTCTGATAGGCAGCTGGAAATGGGAGGTGTTTCCTACTTCAAACCCTGTTGTTTCTACCTCTGCTCCAAGATTCATCAGCATCAGATAGGGAAAGAGGCCTGGTCCTGGAGTCAGAAGACATATTCCATTTCCAGTTCTGCTACTTGCTAGTTTGAGAAAATATGGTCCCTACTCTTGCCTCAATTTACCCATCTGTAAAATGAGGGGGTTGGACTAGATCTTAACTGAACCCCTCTGGCAGCCAGGTGAAGCCTTTGGACCCCTTCTTAGAATAAGATCTTTAAATAAAACACATAGGATTGCAAAGGAAACCAATTATATTGACATGCCATAATCAAAATCTTTTTAAAAAATTTTTGCTTAGACGATTGGGGTTAAGTGACTTGCCCAGAGTCACACAGCTAGTAAGTGTCAAGTGTCTGAGGCTGAATTTAAACTCAGGTCCTCCTGACTCCAAGGCTGGAGCTCTATCCACTGTGCCACCTGACTACCCCCTCAAAAGCTTTTGAAGAACAAGTCCACGGACCCCAAGTTAAGCAACCCTTGACTAGATGACCTCGAGGGCTCTTCTCTGCTGGCCTGTGATTTTGTGATAGAACAGTGTAGTCATCGCGTAAAATATGAGAAGAATGAGGAATTATAAGTTATGTTTCTAGGCTGATATCATGGTTTGGGGGGAATCTGGGGGAGTTTGCTGACTTTTGGAGGGCCTTCCATTTCTCTGTCTGTAGATGTCAGTCCTTTCTGCCTTCCTTGACAAGAGGCTTTCTAGATTTGATGCTACCCTTGACCATGGGTGGATATAGAGCCATGTGTATACAAAGAAGGTGGTATTTGGCTATGCACCATATTTTGGAGGTACAGTCACAACTTTACATTTAAATATAAAAAATCCTGTCCCAAGATGAAGTGGGAAATCGGCTCCTTTTTTTTTATTTTTTATTTTTAAAGACAGCTTAATTATCATGCATAGAGACCTGGCCATACAGCCAGAGACACCTGGGTTCAAATCTTGCCTCCAATATGTACTGGCTGTGTGACCCTGGGCAAGTCACCTAACCTCTGTTTTCTAGGAGACTTTCTAAGGTGTTGACCTACATTGGTAAAGGGAATTTCCTCATGGTAAGAAGAGTTACTATCCTAGGAAAACCATAGGTCCAGGCCCTATACCTTATGCAGGTATAAATGATTTTTTCTTTCTTTTTTTGAGAGGGAAATTTTTTTTTCTAATTTAATTTTTTTTATTTTTTCCTTTTTTTGGGGGGGCAATTGGGGTTAAGCAACTTGCCCAGGGTCACACAGCTAGTAAGTGTCAAGTGTTTAGTCTGAGGCCGGATTTGAACTGGCTTCAGGGGCCAGTGCTCTATGCACTGTTCCACCTAGCTGCCCCGAGGGAAATTTCTAAGAAATATACTTGGAAAAACTTTTTTTTTTGTTCCAGGCTTTCCAGACCACTCAATTTTTACTCTTTAAGGCCACCTATTTTTTGTAAGACGGGTAGCTTTCAAAAATTATCATTAACTTTAAACATCTTTTTGTTTTACTTCATTCCCAAATATATCTATTCCTTCTCCCCTACCCAGAGAACCATCCTGAGTAATAAAGAATAAAAAAGAGAGGAAAAAAGTAGCCCAGCAAAAACAACCAGTGTATCAACTGAACCTGATGGTATATGTAATACTTCACACCCATAGTATTCCACCTCTGCACGGAGGGGAAGGAGGTTAATTTTCTTTGGGGATAAGCTTGGTTGCTATAATTGCAGTTTTCGGTTTTGTTATTATTTGCTTCTTTTCATTTACATTGTTGCAGTTATGATGTCTATTGCTTACCTAGTTCTGCTTAATTAGACCATGCATCCTTTCATATGTCTTCTTATGCTTCTCTAAATTGAAGAAGGGAAACTTTTTTTTTTTTTTGCTTTTTGGTGAGGCAATTGGGGTTAACTGACTTGGCAAAATATATACAAAGCGGCTTGGCAGAGTAGCTCCCTAAGGACCAGGGAGATGAGGAAAGGATGTCAGACGGTGGATTGTAGAGCCTGAGCTGAGCCTTGAACGCTGGAAAGGGAGGCACAGAGGGATGGAGGACAGAAAGCTTTTGCAAAGGAGACTATCGTGTCGGAGCATCATCGAATGGGCTGGACTGTAGGGTGTGTGAAGACAAGTCATGTACACCAAGGCGAGGCTGACAGCCTGGGAAGTCATCAGAGCTGGGAGAACACCAGAAGAGATGCTCCCCTGCCAACATAAAAGAAAACCGCGCGGATGGCCTTCAGACCTGGGACCAATGCAGTGACCAGCATGGGCTTCAGAGGTTCCAGCTTCTCAGCAGAGAGGTGCCTGAGGGCAAGACTGGCCTGTACCTTTCCAGACACCATCCATGGATTGATTTGTTTTTCTCAACTATGCTTGTTTTGGATATTAGGGAGGGATCTCTCGGTGGGGCTGCGGTGTGAAAGTCACTGGGAAGAGACAGTGATGTAAAAAAAAATTTCCCCTAATTCCTAGGGGTCCACCCCAAGGACACTAGGTTCATGTGGACTGGCATAATCGGAATCCCAGGGAGATCATTATCTCTTTGCTCATGCTCCCCTTTCAGAGTTTTTCTCTGGGAAATAATTGCCCATGTCGAGGTTTACTTGAAGTGCCCATAATGGATTCCTGGCTCTCACACGCTACTTAGTATATAATGTAGGTATAGAGGACAGCCTTTCTTTCCTCTACCACTGATACCGCACAAGATACAAAAGGGAAAGGAATAAGCATTTTGTAGTACCTCCTCTGCCAGGCACTGTGCCAAGCAAATAGTATCTATTTAGTCCTCATAACATCTTGGAGAGATAGGCACTGTTATTGTCCCCTTTTTACAGTCGAGAAATTCAGGCACACAGAGGTTCATTGCTCAGGGTCATACATCTAATAAATGTTGTCTGAAGTTGAATTTGAACTCACATCTTCTTGACCCCAGGTCCAGCACTCTGTCCGCTGCTCCCAAAAAAAGATTCACAGGAATCTGTGAACCAAATAAATTTGTAGTCTCTTAGTCTTATCTGGAAGGGGGATGGTTTTTTTTTTGGGGGGGGCTATTGAACAAATACTCTTTACTCATCTCAGATGAGCAGCTCAGATCAGTAGGAAGGGTGGCGAGCTCCATAGCTCTTGCCTCTCTTCCCCCACCCCATTCACTCCCTTGATGACATCAGTCTGCCAGCTACTGGACTCTCCTCTACTATTGGTCCTTTTCTTCCTCCATGAAACATGCTGCCGAGGAAAACCTCTCCCTTCAGCAAGCTAGGTTCCTGGATGCTTGAATCAGGAACTCTTGATCTCTTGGAAACTCTAGATATTGGCTATCCAGAGCTCAAGATTATCTACAAGGCAGCCTCCAAGGGTGAGTGATCCTCTGTTGACTTCTTTCTACTCCAAGGAGCAAAATGCTCAGGAAATCTCCCACTATGAAGTCCAGCGCCTAGACATTCAGACTGAGGAACTCTGGTATGCCCAGTGCTAAATCTTGGCGTATAAAATTTGCCTAACATATAGACATATTAGTTAGGCAGAATGACAGGTAGTATCTTGGGGGAAAGTTAATGGGCTGAGCTGTCCTCATGACTTGCCACTTAGCTTAGTCATCCTAAATGTGCTCATTTCATGTGATTGGGCAATGCCTTAATTGTGTGAAGACCTGTCTATTAAAAATATACACCATCATCAGGTCAGAGCCACATCCCGTTGCCCCGGGCTTATGATGTGGCCCCTTATTGCCACAGGAAGCCATGTCTGGCTTCTTCTGTAGGTCCTGATTTCTTCTTCAACTTCTTGATTCTGCCTTAGCACAAAAAGGTAGCAGGGAAAGGAGAGGATGGATTGATAGGTAGACAGGGCTTAAAGGACAACAACATGACAGAAAACCTGTTGACAGTTTTTTCACTGGAATTGAGGTGTCCCAGAGGCAACGTGGGAATGTCCGAGCCAGGATGTGGTAGGATACAAGGATCCTTGGCCTGCACCCTGGTGCCTCTCTCCAGAGAACATAGTGTTTCCTCTAGCTCAGCTGTGCTTGGGACTGTGAGAGCTCAGACTATTATCTGGGATGCCGAGTGCGGTGGGCTCACTTGGCATCCTCGAGTTGTTGTTCCTGGCACTGCCGAGCAGCTTGGAGACAACACTGTTCATTAAGGTTGCTAATGGCTGCTGGCTCTGACTCCAAACCTCAGCCCTCATTCCAGTCAGCGATGCATTCTTGCCTCATTTGGCCCCATGAAGAGCAAGCCTGAGCCTATGGCTGCTTGCTAGTGCCAGGGGAGGTCCATCCCTTTGGAGCTTTTGGCCTCTGTTTCATCCTGTTGGCTCAAAAGGAGCTTGTAGCCTACTAACACCACCAGGTCCTTTTCACATAACTGGCCAGTTAGCCAGCCCATACTTTGCACAGTGGATTTTTGGATCCAAATGTAAGACTTCATATTTATTCACTGCCACCTTGATAGACATGGTTTCATCACTCCTCCAATTTTACAGCATGCAAGTACGTTCGTGCCTTCTCATGCTGTGGAGCTATTGTCTGGAGTCATTTATGTATCCTCTATGGCATGGCCCTGGGTGCCTTCCTCTTGATTTTGTGTGGATAACAAGCAGGAGTGGAAGCCCAAGGGCCATCTGCTAATTATCCCTTGCTCCATAACAGGCCCACCCCCATTTCCACTTATTGGCTCCTCTGGGGATATCCTTCAGGCCATTTCTGTGCAATTCATTATTGAGAATATGTTGCAGCTGATTCATCCCCACCATGCATCTTGGGCAACCCACAATTTGAATTCCTCAGAGACTGGTATTCAGTGATTTGCAGGCAGGAAGCATCCCCAGAAGAATACTGATGTTTTAAAAAGAAAATGGGTCTTTATTTCAGGGAGAAGCTTGGGATAGTTGAGAACACTGCCTGATTTCCCAAAGGCAAGCTAACCTGCTCTGCTGCTCCCAGTTATTTGCCTAATATGTCTATGTGTTAGGCAAATTTTATATGCCAACTAACTGTCCATCTGAAAGGTCTGTGCAAGACAGAAATATGTAATACACACACATGCATGTACATATACACATACATATGTATGTGTGTGCATAGATACACGTGCTCATATACATTGTGTTCTTATACACATGTGTGTCTATATACACTTCCCCATGCCTAGAATGCTTTCCTCATCTCTGCACCCTGGCTACCTTCAAGCCCCAGCTAACATCCCAACTTCTATATGAAGCCTTTCCTGATGTCTTTTGATTCTACTGCCTTCTCTTACTTGTCTCCTATTTATTTTTTATATAGCTTGCTTGTGTGTGTGTATATATATATACATATATATATATGTGTGTGTGTGTGTGTGTGTGTATATATATATATTATATATTTTGTTTTCTTTCCCATTAGACTGTGAGCTCCTGGAGGGCAGGGACTGTCCTCTGTTTCATTTGGTATCCCAGCGCTTAGTATAGTGCCTGGTACATGCATTTAATAAATGCATGTTGACTGACATTAATACATGTATATATGGCTATGAATGTCTATATTGGTATATGGCTATCTACACCCCCCCCGTACAATACGTATATGCATGCATGACTATCAGCTCTATGTTCCCGTCCACCTAGCTGCATTTTGTAGGCTGTATGATAGACATCCTTCATTCACTTGATTTGTCATGTGTGGATAATTAGGTCAAACTCTTTTTAGTGATGATGGATTTGAGAAGTCTGGAGCTTGAGGCATTCTGTTCAATGTCACCCTCAAAAAGGAGCAGCTAGAAGATCTCGCCATCTGTAGGGAATCTCTTGTTCATTTGGACTCTCCATTGGATAGTCTTCCTAGACATGGCAAGACCCTTTGTTTGAGGGGTTGTGTCAATATCTGTTCTTTTAGCCTTTTCCTATTATTTATGTATTTGCATTAACAGTTCACTTATGTAGCTCAGGTTTGAGTAGCCTCAACTGTACCCTTTTTTGTGTGTGATGAAATATTATTTCTGATCTTTGTTCTAAACAAGTGCATGGTCTAACCACAGGCAAACCATTGAGTTATCAATGATTCTCTAGGCATTTTTTGCATGTTAGAATATAAAGAGTTGTGTATATTTTTAAAATGTTATCTGATGCTTGCATATCTAGTACTTCCTGGTTCCTTTCTTGAAGAAAGTATACATGCTTTAGAGGCCTGAGGCTTCTCTGTTGCTAACTGATTTGAGAATTCATTGAGAGGCCCCTGGGAATTCAGTCCTGTGCTCCTTAGTACAGAGGGAGCATCCTTCAAGCAGATAAGGGCAACGTGGGCCAGAGGAGAAAAAATGTAGTTTCAAGGCTGATGGACAACAGATGTAGGGCGTTGCCTTGTGGTCACTCATTTGCAAAACAGCAAGGTGGCACTTTCAAGCCTAAGAAGGGAATCTCTGGTGCTTCCTCTTGCCTTCTGGTGTCACCTGGGCAGCAGGAAAAAGCAGTGAGATTATGATAGCTCGGATTTGTCTACAACATCACTGTAAGACTTTTAGTGTGGTTATTACAAGCCCCATCCTACAGCTGAAGAAATGAGATCTCAGAGAAGTTAAGTGACTTGTCCATGGTCACACAGCTAGTCAATGTCTGAGGCAGAATTCCAGCCCAGGTCTCCAGATACCAAATCCTGGACTCTAACCATTACTCCGTATCACTTCTCACCTTGGTAAAAGTCACTCAGGTGGCTGAAATCCAGAAGCTCATTCCCCTCCCTATGCCCCAAACCACAAGGAAATGGTCTTTCAGACTGAAGGATTATGGGTAGGAGGAAATGATAGGGATCCCTCAGTGTTTCGTGTAGCACTCTCTATGCCTATGTACACATCCACATCCACGTGCATGCCCTGTCCCTTTGCCACAGTCTCGTTTGACAGGCTTTCCCCCTGCATTTTTGGTCTTCATCCTGGTGTTAGGATGGCCATTTTCCGATTCAATCCCAGTCCTATCCTAAAAGCATCTCTCCAGCTCCCACCTTGGTGCCCGACTCCAGAGAGATGCCACCCCTCCCTTCCTGAGGGACCTACCCGAAAGGTCCCGCCATTCTTTTTCCCATCATGCCCTCACTCTCTGCTACCTCCCTGTAGATCACTGTAGAGGATTATGAGCAGGCTGCCAAGAGCCTGGCCAAGGCCCTGATGATTCGGGAGAAGTATTCGAGGCTTGCCTACCACCGCTTCCCAAGGACCACTGCCCAGTACCTGTGCCCTCAGAGGGCTGAGAAGTGGGGCCCTGGGGATGAGGTATTTCCAGGTATGATTGTCTGTGTTGGGAGGGAGGGAGGGATCCTGCTACTTCCAGAAGATCAATTCAGCATTTATTAAACACTTTTTGTGTGTGCTGGGAATTGCAGGAGATACAAAGATGAATACCATGTCTTCATAGTATCTGCCCTCGGGCAGTGAGGTGGCGCAGTGGAGAGAGTGCTAGCCTGGAGTTGGGGAGACTCCTTCCTGACTTCAAATCTGACCTCAGATACTTACTAGCTGTGTGACTCTGAGCAAGTCACTTAACCCTCTTTGCCTCAGTTTCCTCATCTGTAAAATGTGTTGAAGAAGGAAATGCCATTCTAGTATATCTGCCAAGAAAATCCCAAATGGAGTCACAAAGAGTCAGACAGGACTGAAAAGGACTCAGTAACAACAACATCTGCCCTCAGGGAACTTAGAATTTAGTGGGAGATATGAGATGATATGTGAACAGATAGCCAGAATACTTACCAGTAGACAGTGACGTGGTGTAGTCACTGCTGGGCTTAAAGTCAGGAACACTTGAGTTGAAATCCTGCCTCAGAAACCTATTGACTGTGTGACCCTGGGAAAATTATTTAACCTCAGTTTCCTTATCTGTAAAATGAGAATAATAACACCTACCTCAGGATTGTTGTCAGGATAAATGAGGTAACATATAAAGTGCTTTGCAAAACTAAATCTAGCTATAATAATAATATAATATATAATGTTAATGCCATATGCTAATTCTTATCATACCAGTCCAAATGCTAGGAGAGATCGGAGGAAGCAGCTGAGGGGAACAGAGCAGGCTTCATGGGAAAGATGACATTTGAGCCTGAGCCTTGAAAGATGAGTGAGATTTCAACGGGAGACTTCTGAAGGGAAGGGAAAGGGAATAAGCATTTACATAGCAGCTACTATGCGCTTAGCTTTTAATCATTGGATCAAGGTCTCCCACTGGGGCCATCAGCAGTCATGTTCACCTGGACTGTGGTGACTCTGCACAGCTCTGCGTCACTTAAAGTCAATTCACTTGCAAATGAAGACATCACTCTCCTGATGTCATTGGTCCTCTTCAAGAATGAAGGACAAACAACAACAATGTGTGTGCCAGGCACTAAGCCAAGAGCTTTGCAGACAGTATCTTATAGTGATGTCATTATCCCCATTTTACAGTTGAGGAAGCAGGCAAATAGAGGTTAAGTGACTTGCCCAGAGTTGAACAGTTAGTAAGTGTCTGAGGTCAAATCTGAACTCAGGTCTTCCTGATTTCAGGCCCATCACTCTACATGCTGTGCCACCTCCATGAAGGGAGAGGGGAGGCATTCTAGGCATTCAGGCAGCATTGACAAATGCCCACAGGTAGGAAAGAGCAGGAAGTGTAAGAGGAATGGTGAGTAGTCAAGCTAGGTCAGAGCATAGGCTATTTGAAGGGAAGCTAAGAAGGTCTTAGCGCTCATCAACTGACTTTGGGAGAACCTTTCACCAGCCAGAGCCAATTCCCTTGAATAATATTTCCCCATGGGACTCCTAGATCTGGAATGGACCTTGGGGGCCATCAGGTCCAACCTTCTTCATTCTGTTGATGCAGAAACTGAGACCTTGAGAGATTAAGAGATTTGCAAGGAAGTAGCTGGTTAGAGCTCAGGTCCCATGACTCCAGAGACAGTGCCCTTTCCACTGTACCAAGTTACCTGTTGTAGCTTCTGAATTTCTATTTACTCAACAAGTATTTTTTTTTAATATGGCCAGAGTGGGAATTTGTTTTGCTTAATATGAATATTTGTTAAAGAGTGTTAAACAACATTCTTCAACACTTCTCTTCCCTTTGCTTCTTCTTTCCCTTCCCTTCTTTTTTTTAAAATTAATTATTTTTAGTTTTTTTTTTTTTGGCTAGGCAATGGGGTTAACTGACTTGCCCAGGATCACACAGCTAGTAGGTAGGTATCAAGTGTCTGAGGCTGGATTTGAACTCAGGTCCTCCTGACTCCGGGGCTGGTGCTCTATCCACTGTGCTACCTAGCTGCCCCTAATTTTAGTTTTCAACATTCATTTCCCTAAGCTTTTGAGTTTTAAATTTCCTCTCCCTCTCTCCTTCCCCTCCCCAAGATGGCACGCAATCTGGTGTAGGCACTACACATGCATTCCTATTAAACATATTTTCACATTAGTCATGTTGTAAAGAAGAGTTGGATCCAATGGGAGGAACAACAAGAAGGAGGATCTGCATTCAGACCGCATATTTCTTTCTCTGGATGTGGAAAGCTTTTTCCATTGTGAGTCTTTTGGAGTTATCTTAGATCCCTGCATTGCTGTTTACTCAACAAATATTTATTGAGTGTCCAGGACGAGGCTAAGTCCTGTTCTGGGTTCAGTGTTGGGATATGGAGCCTTATAAAACCTACCTAGTCTTTGCCCTGGATGAACTCACTGCTTGGGAGCCACAACTTCCACTTAGGAAACATTTAAATAAAAATAAAAGACAGTAGATGATTAAGCGTCCCAGTGAGCGCAGAAATGAGCCCATTGGCGCCTCTCTTTGACTCTCAGGGGCCAGATGGGTGTGAGCTGAGTGGAGGGGAAGGCTCTCTCGGGGAGGTATTGAGTCACCTCTTTGATGATCCCAGCATGCCAATTAGAGACCTGACACCAAAGAACTTAAATGGAAAAATGAGGGCAGGAGCAAGTCTTTCCTCAAGCATCTCTCTTAAAAGCTCTTTTATGGGCTGGTTGAACTCGCGCCCAGTGGAACGGTGTGGTGCTCTGGTGGCAGGCAGCTCTGTGCCAGCTTCTCCCCAGAAGGATTCAGGAAGCCGTTTAGTTCTGCCTGGCTGCATGCTGTTGGCGTGGGCTTGTGCAGGGGCGTCACGTCCTGGGGCTCACTGTTAACCTATCCATAGGTCCTTTACCTCGGGTAGTAGCTCATGAAAACCAGTGAAGGGAGGCCAGGAGACCTTGGCGTTAGTCCTGAAGGTCGGTGCCTGCCTGAGGATCATAGAATTAGACCCAGAAGGGATTTTAGGAACCACCTAGTCCCAGTGGCCTCTAGGCCACATGTGGCCCTTTAGGTCCTCAAGGGCGGCCCTTCGACTGAATCCAAACTTTCTTTCTTTCACAGGTGGCCTCGAGGCTGCAGATTCCCCACCCCTGATCTAGTCTAAGATTACAGATGAGGAAACTGAGTCTCAGAGAGACTTGGATGACCAGCCAAAGTCAACAGAGGGTCATAGGTCTAGCTTATTATTCTAGGTAGGGAGTAAGAGAGGTAGTATTTGAACCTGGGTCCTCAAGCTTTTGTTTTCCTGTAAGGAATGACCCACTTGGTTCTGCTCAGGAAATGTTGGAAAGATTAATTCAATAACATACCAGAAGCAGGTTGTGCTTTTTGGAAGCATGTTGAGCCCAGGTATGCTTATGGGATGTGCTGACAGGAGGTGATGATGGGATTCAGGGAGGCCTCAGTCACAGGGGTGGGGAAGCTGCCCTAGAAGGAGGAAGCACGAAGTGAATTGGTTTTAAGCTTGGTATCAAGGGGCCTTTTCTACTGAGAGCCTAAGAATCTTCCACAGGCCACCATTACCCAGAGTCAAAAGGTTGTCCCAGAGCAAGGATTCCTAACAGGGAGTCCATGGACCCTGAGGGTTCTATGGCTAGGATATGGCTAGCCCTGTACAGTGTTGGGATATGCAGCCTTATAAAACCTAGTCTCTGCCCTTGGGTCAAGTTCTAAGAACTTGGATGGGTGTGAGGAGAAAAAACAACAACAACCCTACATCTGTATTTTCTTTTTTTCTTTTTTTGGTGAAGCAGTTGGGGTTAAGTGACTTGTCTAGGGTCACACAGCTAGAGTCAAGTGTCTGAGGCCAGATTTGAACTCAGCTCCTCCTGACTCCAGGGCCAGTGCTCTATACATTATAGCACCTAGCTGCCCCCTGCATCTCTTTTCGCTAACCCTTTAGTTTCCTTTGTAATTCTATGTATTTCCTTTTATTCATTTAAAAGCATCATTCTGAGAAGGGATCTATAGGCTTCACCAGCTTGCAACAAAAAACGGTTAGGATTCTTCGTCCTGGTGGCATGGTGGATAGAACACCAGATTTGGAGTCAGGAAGACCTGAGTTCAAATCTCACCTCAGACACTTACTAATTATGTGACCCTGGGCAAGTCACTTAACCTCTGTTTGCCTCAATTTCCTCATCTATAAAAGGGTGATAATGCTAGCACCTCCTTCCCAGGGCTGTTGTGAGGATTCAAAGGAAATAATACTCATAAAGCATTTAGCAAAGTGCCTGGCACATAGCAGGCACTATGTAAATGCTAGCTAATGTTGTTAGTATTAGAAGCCAGCACTCTCTATGGAGTCCTTAAGCTGCCATCTATTGGCTCATTTTGCAATGTAGTGGCTCTGGTCTCTTCTTCAGAATAGAATTGATTATATTATATATATTAGTATATTATGTTATGCTATATTGTATTATATTATATATTCTAGAGTCTCAGACTTGGAAGGACCCTCTGAGGTCATTGAGTTTCACCCCCTACTCAGAAAAGGGGGTCCCCTCTCCAGCATCCTTGAAAAGTGCTCATGCACTCTCTGCTTAACCATTTTTGGTGATGGGGAGCTCACCCCCTGTAAGGGCAGCCTCTTCCATTCTTGGGCAGAGGAAAGAATTCTGGATTCCACCTTCAGAGCTTTGCTACCTGTGATGATTCTCAAGTCACCCCATTATTTGTCAAAAAGGGGGCTGGGCTAGGTGACTCCAGGTCCCCCCAGCTCTAGACTTATGATCCTATGATCTAATCTGGGGGAATTTCTTATATATTGAGGTGAGATTTGCTTCCCAGTAATTCTCCGCCCCCCCATTTGCCTTGGTTCTTTTTCTTTGGAAAAAAGAATAGAGGGATAGCAGCGCCACTTTAGGTCTGGTTTGTGATATCTTTTGTTGAGTGACGGTCCATGGCAAGCCGGCAGTGATGTGGCCCTTGCCACATTGGAAGGGAACATTGCTGGCTCACAACTAGCAGGACTCAGTTCTAAGTTTCTTTTCCTAATCTCAAGTTTTGTGATGTGTCATACACAGTTGGTGTTTACTAAATGCTTGTTGAAATACATTAAATTGGGAAAGGTAGGGCAATTGTTTACTTAGAAATGAGGAAACTGAGGCCTTGAGAAGTGAAGCAACTGGCCCAAAGCCACTGTTTTTGTGCCTTTACAAAGGTGTGCCTCCCTTCGCCATGCTTGGAAAGTTCTCCATGCTTTCTTCCACCTCAGCAAATTCTGTCTAACTTCCGCCACAGTGGCGTTACATGAGGCCTGTCCTGTTGTCTTCAGTTCCTAGTCTTCATTCCCCACCCAGTTCCTTTCTATTTGTTTTTCATATACCTTATATTTACTTATCTGTGTACCATGTTGTTTCCTCAATGGCATATAAATATAAAAATATACAAAAATGTAAAAAAATTCCTTGCCCTTGAAGGCACGGAATATTATATTTTTGAGGACAAGGACTATTATGATTTTGGCTTTGTATCCCCAGCACCTATTCTGGAATATAGTAGATGTTTAATAAATGCTTGTTGAACGAACGAACGAATGAATGAATGAATGAATGGAGTGAATGAATGAATGAAACCAGTTAGTAAGTGAGAGGGGTAAGACTCAAACCCAGGTCTCATGACTACATTTCTGTTATTCTTTTCACTATGCTTTCCTGCCCTGTCCATGGACACCACAAATGGGACTTTTACATATTTGGTTTTCAGTAGGGTAGCCTGAGATGACAGTCAGCTAGTCTCTAGGCTTGGAAGATTGAATCTAGATGGTCATGGGACAGAGGAATATAATACTCGATCTTTGGGAGCATCATGCCTGGTGGCTCAGTGCCTATGTTCTTTTTTATGCCTTCCCATGACCTCAGTTCTGTTTTACAGATTTCCACCCACCCCCAGAGCCACATGAAAATCCCTATTGTCTGGACAACACCCCCCCAAACCTGGGCTACGTGCTCAGGATGCAGGGTGGTATCATTTTTGTGTATGACAATGAAGAGATGCTGAAACACAATGAGCCCAGAAGCCTGCCATACCCTGACCTGGAGACCTACACGGTGGACCTCAGTCACATCCTGGCCCTCATCACAGATGGTCCGACGTATGTTGCTATTGTTTTTGTTATGATTCTTGTGAGGCAGCATGGCATAGTGGGTAAGCCAGGAGGACCTGCTTCCAAGCCTTGTCTCTGTTATGTACTGGCTGTGAGATTCTGGGCAAGTCATTTAACCTTTGGTTAGTTTAGTTAGCTAATTTGGTGCTCTAGACAAACCTTTAAGATTCTAAGTTGCAGAGAATGTCCAGACATGCATTAGTAGAGGGAGAGTTCCCTACACTAATGAAATCACGAATCAAGTTCTTAGCCCTATTATTGTTCTCATCTTATATTTGATTGAGTTGAGAAAGAAACAGGTCACTATCCCACTTTTATTCTTTTTTGTCTAACTTTTGGCAGGTTATTACCTAGGTGGATGAAATAATTGCTTTTTTAATTGAACAGAATGTTGAAGTGTAATACTTATCTTCTCTAGGCTCTGTGAAAGCATTTTGGGGACTTTAGTAGCAGAAAGGGTGATGAGGATGATGGGGACCTTATCCTGTCCCTGCCTGGTTTTAATTCCTTCTACTAGATCTCTATATGTTGAGAGCTGCTCATCCCATGTTGTAAATCAGTCTCTATGTAGTTGGGAGGTTATGATTATTCAGTATGGTGATCTCCATTAAAAATGCCGTTCTTGAATTTTTACACCCAGTGTTAACATCCAGACAACTGTGGGCAACAGTTGTGGCTTGTGACAATTTTCAGATTCCAGTAGAGCTTATATACTATGTTCTCAGGGATATTTCCAAGATTGTGTTTGTAGTGTGGGAAGCTGTCACATCTGTTAATTTATGAAGATGATTAGCTTCTGCTGGATAATTCTGGCTACTTGACCATATCTTTCTATGTATTTGGTAGATGCTCAATTTTTGGAAATTGTAGTGATATACAGCCCAGTTTCTCCTCTTTCGAGTGTATGAGTGAAGGCTCCTTAATGATAAAGTTTCTGTAATTTCTGGTCATAGTGATCTAGTCTTGTATCGCTTTCTAAGACCATCCATTTCTATCAACCCATCAGCCATTGCTATAATATAATAGCTAACATTTACGTAGTGCTTACTAGGTGCCAGACAGTGTGCTAAGTGGTATATAATTACTATCTTATTTGATCCTCACAACCACCTTTGGAGGTAGGTGCTATCATCATTCCCATTTTGTAGATGACGAAACAGGCAAACAGGGTTGGTAAGTGACTTACCCAGGGTCACTCAGCTAGTAAGTATCTGAGGTTGGATTTGAATGCTTGTGTTCCTGATTCCCAGCCTGGCGATCTATCCTCTAGCCCAACTACTTCCTTGTCAGAAGATTGTTGGTTGGGTTTATGAGGGTGTTACCCATGGAAGGCCTTTTGTTCTGCTCCAGAACCTCAAGTCGTCTCACGGGCCCCATCTGGAGGCAAACCAGTGCCTTCAACAAGTGTACCCACTTTTAGCTTTTCCCGTTGTGCCGTGAAGGGGGAGGGGGAATTTGTTTTTTTCCCAAAAGTATTTCTATAAGTTTTTAGCTTGTTTATCATGCTATATGGGAAGAGGGAGAAGGAAACAAGCATTTATTAAGCACCTACTATGTGCCAGGCACTGAGCTAAGCACTTAACAAATATCTCATTTGATCCTCACAACAACTCTGTGGCTGGGCACTATTCCCCCCCCTCCCCATTTTACAGGTGAAGAAACTGAAGTAGACAGAGATTAAATGACTTGCCCAAGGTTACACAGGTAGTAAGAGTCTGAGGTTGAATTTGTTCCTCAGGCCTTCATGATTCCAGGCCTGGCTGTCATCCATTGCATCACCTAGATGCCTCCCTTTCAATGAGGTAGTACTAATCTTTCTATAATTGCCTTGGGATAATGAGCCCTGTGTTTCATTAAAATTATTTTTGCTGCTGATATTCTTCCTTATTGGTAAAATGTGGGGATTACATACTATGGCTTCTAAGGTGCTTTCTTGTTCTGAATCTGTGATCCTAGCATCATCATCATCATCATCATCTATTATTATTATTAATATTATTCTACAGGAAAACATACTGTCACCGGCGACTTAACTTTTTGGAATCCAAATTCAGCCTACATGAGATGTTGAATGAAATGTCTGAGTTCAAAGAATTGAAGAGTAACCCCCACCGAGACTTCTATAATGTGAGAAAGGTGAGTCTTGGGCTGAGAGTTGATGGAGGGGTGATGGGGTCACTCCTGGCTTTCCCAAGACTCGTGTCTTGTTGGGGCTTGTATCCACAGCTTGCCTCATCCTTCCTCATTGGCAGGATCAGGTCTGTAGCGAGTCTGTGGCTCTCAAAGTATGAGCCAGTCACTGATGATGTTGGGGAGGGAAAATTCTTGTGTATCAGAAGGGAAAAGAGGGAGTAGAGAGAGGAGCCTTCCTCTGAACCAGGAAATCAGGGACCCACTAATTGGGGCAATACTCAGAGCCTATTAATAATATGACATGCCTTTGCTATTTTGTCTTCCTTATGTTGTCCTCAGTGGCCTGTTAACTACTTATAAGAAATGAAGTGAGCCTATTTTAAAGGTCAGGGTGGTATTTTAAAATTTTTAACCCCTTCCCCCCAAAACCACATTAAAGTTTGCAATATTAATTCATGCTTAGGATCGCTAGACTTGGACATTGTCCAGCCCAATGCTCTCTTTTCAGGATGAGCAATCTAAGACTAGAAAGGTCAAAAGATTTGCCAAAAGCCACTTGGGTAGTAGGGACCCAAGCTAGGATTGAAAAGCAGATCTGATCAGTCCAAATCCAGTGTTCTTTCCCTATTGCATTGTTGGGGAACTTCAGACTTGCCATCCTTCCAGGCGGAGCTGTCCAAAAGGTAGCCGGAGTTGTAAGTCTATAACTGGGGAGAGCAGTCGTGACTGCAGACTTCACTTTAGGAGTCATCAGCATGGAGGCGTTAGCTGAAGACAGAGGAGGGTTGAAGGAGGCAGGGAGTGCTGGGTAAGAGAAAAGAAGAGAGGGCACAGAAAGGAGGCAGGAGGAGAACTAGGAGAGTGTGATATCCTCGGAGACAAAGGAGAAGAGAATATTGGGGGAGAGAGGTGAGGAAGGGGTAATCAGTGGTGCCACATACAACAGAAAGGTCAGTGATCACGAGGATCACAAAGGGCTCTGGATCTGATGACAGGGTGCCATTGGTGGCCTTGAAGAGAACAGTTGGTGTGGTGGGGCCAGGCTCCTGTGTTCTCTGAGGGAAGGAGAGGCTTCTATTTGGTAGGATCCTCACTAACAGTTCCCTCTTCTGGGTCCCACCAGCCCCAAACAGAACAGTCCCTGGCTCACTTGAGAGAACTGGGATGGGTAATGTCAACTAGAAGTGACAGTTTTATAATAGATTAAAAGCTTGCAGAAGCCTTATTTAAAACTTATTTAAAGCCTCTGTTCACTTGAGCCTCATGCCAGCTCTATGAGATGAGTAACACAAACACTGTTATCCCCCTTTTAAAGGTGAGGAGACTGAAAATCAAAGAATGTAAATGACTGGCCTGTGGTAAATGGAATGAGGAGTCTCTACTCCATTAATGGAAGGTAGTACAGGGTAGTGGAGTGTGTGTGTGTGTGTGTGCGTCTCTTTAGGGTGGGTAGGATGTGTTAGACTAGTGCCTACAAACTTTTTCACTGGGTGTCTCGCATTTCTAACTGCCCTAGCAATTTTGGATGATGAAAATGGGCATGTGTAGGGCTAAAGACTGATGGAGACAGCGGGAGATGGAACTTGATCAGATAATTGAAAAAGATGAGAGGGAAAAAGAGAGAAGCCCGTTCTGTGTCAGACTCTCTGATAATCACTATGGGCAGTACAAGGAATTATGAGAATCAGACCTTGCTCGCTTTGGGGTTGTAGTCATGTAAGGAGGGAGATGGAAAATATATATAAAATAAGGGCATTTCAAGGTAGAATGTGAATATCCAGTAGGAAAGAGGTGCCAAGTACTGTGGGAGTCCAGAGAAAGGAGAGATCACTTTCTGCTAAGGGTTTGGGGTGGGCTTCACGGAGGAGGTGGTGTTGGAACTGGGCCTTGAAGCCTGGGTAGGAATTAGACAGCTGGGGCTTAGCCAGGTTCTTAGGAAAGCATGGGTTATCTTCTCAAGAGGTGACTGAGTCCAACTTGGCTGAAACATAGGATATGTCTAATGTGGTAATAGGAGATGATTAGGAAAGGAAATTAGGAAGAAGTCATGGTGGGCCTTGAATACCTGGATAAAGAGGTTGGACTTTATTCAGGAGGGAATAGGGAGTCATCAGCAGTTTCTAAGCAATAGGATGATGTGATTAGAACTGTGTTTCAAGAAGCTATTTGGCTTTAGGTAAATCCCTTTCCCTTCCAGGTCTCAGTTTCTCCATCTCTGATGAGGAGGCTGAGCTAGACAATCATGGATGTAGAGATGGAAGGCGTCTCTGTGGCCAACAAATCCACCACTCTCATTTTACAGAAAAGGAAACTGAGGTCCTAGGAAGTTAAGTGACTAGCCCATGATAAGTGGAATGGGGAGTCTATCCATCAATGGAAGATAGTTTAATGTAGCCCTACTGCCTTCTATCACTGGGTTACTCAGGTACAAACAGAAGCCAGACTGAGCTCAGGTCCTCTGAGATAATGCTTTTTTTTTTTTAGGATATTCTGCCTCTCTAAGTGCCTTCCAATTCTAAAATTTTATGTCTCTGCAACTCTAAGGAAGCACATGGCATAATGAATAGGATGCCCATCCTGGAATTAGGAAGACCTGAGTTCACATCACTGCCTCTGATAATACTGGCTGCGTGACCTTGGGAAAGTCCCTTCTTAGTGCACCAGGCTGCGCATTAACATATGGTGATCTCTCAGATTGTAAGTTACAGATAAATTGCCATTCTGCACCAGTGGAGGGAGTTTTCATACCTGGAATTCCCCACACTCCTGGAATCATAGATCTGGATTAAGGTGAGAAAAAGGTTAAGACTAATCTGGCAGAATTATATAGGATAAATTGGAAAGAAAAGACACTGGAGGCAGGAGACCATCTGGGACGTATTATACTAGGTTTGGCAAGAAATCATGAGTGTCTACTCTAAACCATAGTCATGGGAGAGGAAATGGATAGGAGGGAATGGATGACAAAGAGATTTCAGAGTTAGAATTGTTAAGACTTGAGAAGTCTTGGGGGAACATAAAAGCCATCTTCAGTTACTTGAAGGATTGCCTTGTGGAGGATGGATTAGGCAGGAGCAGAAACAGGGGTAGACTTTGCAAAGAGGCAGATTTGAGTCTGATTTCAAGAAAAATATCCAGGGACAGCTAGGTGGTGCCGTGGATAGAACACTGGCCCTGGATTCAGGAGGACCTGAGTTCAAATCCTGCCTCAGACACTGATACTCACTAGCTGTGTGGGCAAGTTATTTAACTTCGATTGCTTTGCAAAAAAAGAAAAAGAAAAAAAAGAAAAATATCCTAACAATTAGAGCTCGCCAAAATATAATGGGCTGCCTGGAGAGGTGATCAGTCCCCTCTTCTTGGAGGCTGGACTTGGTGGTTATGTTTACAATGAATACTTCTTTCATAGATGGTGACCTGTGGTCATGGGAATCATAGAATGAGTTTAGAGTCTAAGAGTCAAACTAGGGTTCAAATCCAAGGTCTCCCACTATCTATGTGACCTTGGGCAAGTCACTTTAACTCTTTGGGACTTAGTTTCCTCATTTGAAAAATGAAGATTTGGACTAGATGGCCTCTAACGGCCCTTTCAGGGGTTTATAGCTATGATCCTATGTGCCATGTTTCTCACCCAACATGGCTTTCCACGTAGACATGTGTGCTGATTTGATAGCTAAGGAACAGAATGCTGATGAAGTAGGGAACAAAGCCCAGCCATTTCATAAATGGTCTTTATTGTATTGCTTATTTTTTGAGAGGAATTGTGATTTCACTTAATGGAGGGAGCTCCCAGTGAGGAAACACCCTCCAGGAATGAAGAGGTGTGTCGTCTTAGGGTTGCCTAGAGGCACTGAAAGGTCAGGTGTCACACAGTCAGAGGTGGGATTTGAACAAGGGTTTTCCTGACTCCCCTTGTTCTCCACTGTTTCTCTCACAGTTTACTTGTTTAATAAAAGCCAACAATTATTTAGGGCACAGCTTTATGCCTACATCATTAAATTGCAGAACGTGGCCCCTGGGATAGGAGATGAAAAAAATGTGAAACTGAAACATCAAAGGCCTGGTCTATTTATCAATGGCCATTGATAGCCTGGAGTCAAGGCTTAGCCAACTTATTCAGCCAGTGCTTCTAATGCACATTAGGTAATGTGTGAACTTACTCACTGGACTCTACCTTGTTCAGCCTTTCCTTGTGTCCTCCTGTATCTACAGTGGAAACCTTGTGTGGGAAACAGGATTCATGCCCAAGCTCTTTGTAGTTTTCCATATTCGTGATCAAGGAGATTTGGCAGGAATGGATTTAAGGGATTAGTTTTCTGTTATAAAGGCATCTGGCTGCTTTTATTACACTCATTAACACACACACACACACACACACACACACATACACACTCAAACACAAAGACATCCCCTCTGTACCTAATAGACAAAGGCTACATGGGAAATGGTATGTCTTCATACCTTTGCTTTTATAGACTTACCAACTCTTCTCCGTTGATGGGAGGACATGGTGAAGAGTAGCTCAGGTTGAGAAGGCATAGATTGGTTGTGATCTGCAGTGGTGGAAGAAGTGCCTTCCTGGATGAAATCACAGATCCATTTGAGATGCTTCATGATGCATAAAGGAGATTCTACCCCATCATCCAGTTATTCAGCCACCACCATCCAAATGAAAGTCACTTTTAAATGTCATATCTATCAAAGAGATCTTCTCTAGGCCTTTAAAAAGGGTTAGCTTAATGACTTTAATTTTTTTTAACTGAAAATCAAATAAAATGGAGAAATACCATGTACCAAACTACATAGTAATTTTTCAACAGGCATATTTTAATAGCATGAATTAATTTTCTCCTCCAGAGACAGCAACTGAATATAAGAAGGCTTACAGTGACCTAGCTTAGGGCTATGGGGTAACCTTTGATTTCATGGGGTGGCAGAAGCTGGCCTTAGGCTGATTATAGCAATTGCCCATTAAGAGAAGGCTTCCGTTGGTGTAGTTCAATACATGTTCTGAGATATGCTCAAGAAAAGTACAAATTAACCTAATTTGATTAGAAAATTCAGTGGAAAGAACACTGACTCTAGACTCAGGGGAACTTGATTGAAGTCTTGCCTCTTACACTTACTATGTGAGCTTGCGTAAGGCAATCAACCTTCAGTTTCCTTATTTGTAAAAAACGAGGGGGTTGGAGCAGATGGCCTTGGAGCCCCTTCTAGCTCTAGAGCAATGGTCTTATGAGTCATCAAAATATTAAAGAATTCTAGTCTAATGGAGGCAGCAAAAAAAAAATCAAATACACACGCACACATACACACATACCAGATGTGACATTTAAAAGTTATCCCCGTTTAGGTGGGGTTGTTTGAAATATACTCAGGAAAGATGGTCCTGAGTGGGTTGTCTGGGTCCTATGACTCATTGAACAATGAACAAGCATTTATTAAGCACCTACTATATAGACCTTCTGGAACGCCCCTCTCCTCCTATCATGCCTTAATAGGGAGAAAGGGAGTAAGCATTGGGGGAATAACCCCAACTTGTTAGCAGAAGGAAAAGAGCCCTTTCCTGAAGGTTTATGGGTACAGGGCTGGCAGGAGAATTCAACAATTGTGTCCTTAGGCAGTCACCATTTGGCGGACTCAGTGCGGATCATAGTGTGGGCCCCCACCTCTCTCTTCTCTCATTTGGTTGTACGGATAGATGAATTAGATGTGCTTTGGATGAATGGAGCTAATGCAATCAAGAATTACTTTTTAAAAAATTAATTTTTTTTTTACTCTCTCTTCCTTCACACATGGCACTGACTAGATGTCCCCATGACCGAATGGTGGTCTATGCTGGCTTTTGCCCCTCATTGTTGCAGCTCCTACTTTCTAAGTGGAGGCTTCTGTCCCCTTCTGGGTAGCCCCAGGAGCCCCTTTCAACTGTGTCGAGGACAGCTGGATCCCTTGATTTCTTCCCATCTGTCTTGTCCCAGATGTGGCTTCCCAGGCTTTCTCCCTCCTGCTCAGCTTAGGGTGTTAGAGACTAACTAAACAAGTATCGCACACCTGGGTATTGGACAGGATCCTGGAGATTGTAGGGGGCTCCCCTTGAGCCTCAGTTTTTTCATCTATATAATGGGAGGATTGGATAGTGACTATAGAATCCTATGCCTACAGCTGGAAAGGCCTTCAAAGGCCATTGAGAGTCATTCCCTCATTTTACAGATGATGAAACTGAGGTTCAGCAGATGAAGTGATCTGCCCAAGATTACACAGAGAGCAAACATCAGAGCTGGAATTTGAACCCGGCTCTTCTGACTTCAGATTCAGTGCTCCCTGAGATTCCTTCCACCTCCAGATTTATGATCCTCTATGTATCACTCATTGAAGTAGTCTTCAGCTCACGCCTGGTTACTAAAGGTTTCCTGGGAGTCAGTAACAGGTGGAACTTATCCATTTGTGTCCTGTATTCTCCACTGTTTTGCCTCCCTGGAAAAATGGCCCCATGAGCTAAGAAGAATCCTACCCAAGGGATGGTAGTTTATTGGAGAGACCAAACTGGGTCACCATGAATTAATAAGGTGTTTGTTCATTTGAGAAGAGGTATCATGGTGTATTGGAATGAGCCCTGAATTTGGAGCCAGGAGACCTGGCCCTGCTGCTTCCTGATCATGGATTGGAGAAATCACTTTGCTTCTTAGCCTTAGTTTCCTTCTCTGGAAAATAAGGTTCAAGGGCTAAACGATGTGAAAATCTTTGATCCTAAGATAATGCTTTGTACCTGTGAATAACTGGCAAAAGGCAATGCTGTGAAGAAAGAAGATAGGATGGAATAGGATGGAATGGGATAGAAGGGGAAAGGGAAAGGAAGGGAAGGGAAAGGAAGAGAAAGAAAGGAGAGGGAAGGGAAAAGAAAGAAAGTGGTTAGGGAAAATGACATGCACACAAATAATATGAGGGAAATCTGATAATGAATATGTATAGGCTGCAGACAAAATGCTCTGAGAATTTGTCCAAAGGAAGGAGAGAGCCCCTCTGGTTTAGGGGATTCCTTCCACCTCAGCAATTCTGCCTCTTGCTAACCTGATGGGTGGGTGGGGTTGGGCTGTGCCTTCAGGTGGACACTCACATCCATGCCGCAGCCTGCATGAACCAGAAACACCTGCTACGTTTCATCAAGCACACATACCAGACAGAGCCCGACAGGATTGTCACTGAGAAGAGGGGCAAGAAGATCACGCTCAGGCAGGTGTTTGATGGTCTTCACATGGACCCCTACGACCTCACCGTGGACTCCCTGGATGTCCATGCGGTAAGCTGATCCACCTGGGTATTGCCAACAGAAGTGGTGGAAATTACAGAGAGGCCCATATTGGTTTGGTGCGATAATAATTCACTATCTCATATGATTTGTGATTCCCACACTTAAAGTTGGCCCCACTGGAGTGGTAGGTAAAGAATAAGCTCCTCTGACCTCTTGGTTTTATTTTTAAAGGGCATCTCCCTCCCTCTCCCCACCCTCAATCTGAGGCTTCTTGGGCATCCAGATGTGCACTCACTAGGGCTCTTCTTTCCAGGGCCGGCAGACCTTCCATAGGTTTGACAAATTCAATTCCAAGTACAACCCAGTGGGAGCCAGCGAGCTTCGGGACCTGTACTTGAAAACTGAAAACTACTTAGGTGGAGAATACTTTGCACGGATGGTCAAGGTCAGGAACCTCCCTGTTGTGTTACCACCTGCCCTTCCCCCTCACGATGGTTGCAGACTAGAGTGGGAGAGGATTGGGATCTGGAAGATGGGCCAGACCTCTTCTTCCTAGCTTGGGGTGGGAGGATGGGCTGATTTCAGCTGCCAAATGCCCTCCACGCCAATGATAGCTCCATTTGTTATCTGTGTTCTGTTTGCTAGTCAAGCTAATTCACACCTGTCAAGATATCACTTTCGTGATATCTATGGCTCTCCTCAAAAACAGACAAACTACATTCTGTTTACCAGACAAATGAAGAGGAAAAGAGTGGGGCCAAGTTATCACCAGTTGGAGACCATGGAAACCCAGACTAGAGCTTGAGCCCACTCATGCATAGCCTCAGAGATAGAAGAGACCTTCCGAGTCATCTGGTCCAACCTCCTCATAGGAGCACAGGATTTAGAGCTGGAAGCAATCCTGGAGGATACCAAGTTCAGACCCCTCATTTTACAGCTAAGGAAATGGAGGCTTAGCGAAATGAAGGGGCTTGCCCAATGTCACACAGCAAGTCTGGTAATGGCAGGTACAGAACCAGATTGCAGGCTTGGTGACTCCCAGTCCGGGTTTCTTTCCCCTTTCTGGCTGCAGTTTGTGGCTGGGCCTGAGACTCTTCTGATCCCCAAGGATTGCTGTGCCCAGTCCCAAAGCTGCAGCTGTGCCCCAGCTCAGGGCTCCCAGCAATGCTTTTGATGGAGCTTTAGTCCAAGGGCAGTATTGCTGAGAAGAGATCAGATGAGCTAAGCTACGACATGAAGTACTTAGGTGTGCTCTAACAAAGAACTTCCCCATGTTGGATTAAATGGCTAAAAGAGTTTGAAATCTCCATATAAAGTGTTTTTTTGGAATCTCCATATTAGGTGATTTTTCAGTTCAGGAAAGGGAATCTAACCTAATCTAAACCTAAGCTTAGATAAATAGTTTAGTTTAGATAGATGAGATGGTTGGTACAGTATAGAGCTCTGGGCCTGGAGCCAGGAAGACTCATTTTTGTGAGTTCAAGTCTGGCCTCAGACACTTACTAGCTGCGTGACCCTGGGCAAGTCACTTAATCCTGTTTGCCTCAGTTTCCTCATCTGTAAAATGAGCTGGAGAAGGAAGAAGCAAACCACACTAATATCTTTGCCAAGAAAACCCCAAATGGGGTCATAGAGAATCATGTAGGACTGAAACAACCAAACAACAAAAACCACCCCTAAGATGGTTGGGTGGCAGGGAGTTGGATGAGATGAACTCTTCAGGTTCCTCTCAGGGCAGGGATCCCATGACATAGATACCATAGTCCATCCACCTAGCCCCATCTAGATGCTGCTCAAAGCCAAGAATGCTCTTGAATTGACCCAGAAACTCTTTTTGGCCACAGGAAGTGGCTCGGGAACTGGAAGAGAGCAAATACCAGTACACAGAACCCCGCCTTTCCATCTATGGGCGCTCCCCCCTGGAATGGCTCAACCTGGCCAGGTGGTTCATTAATCACAAGGTCTACTCCCCAAATATGCGCTGGATCATCCAGGTCCCCAGAATCTAGTAAGTGAGGGCCCTGCTCACTGGGCTTCCCCATCTTTCACCCTAGCACTCTACTCCTTTAGCTGTGATTACTCCTTCCTTCCTTCTATACTCTCCTCTTACTGCCACCATAGGGTTCTACTTGTTCAACTGTAACCATATTCTTCACTTTCATTTTGCTCTTCCTCTTTGTGCCCAAGCTTTGGTTGCGTGCTCCATTCTTCTAGCTCCAGCCTTCAGATTTCTTCTCTACCTAAGGTTGGCATGAGGGTGATCCCTAGTGTGGAAAGAGTACTGATTATGAAGTCAGAGTACCTGGGTTCAAATCCTTATTAAAAAATCTTTATTACCTGTATGACATTGGACAACTCAATTGCCTCTTCTGTAAAATGAGTGAGTTGCACTAGATGACCCCAAACATCTGTTCCAACTCTAGGTCTCTGACTCTATGGTCTATGATCATCTTGTTTACCGTGCTGTGGACTTTTTTTTGGATTTTTTGTTCACTCATATGATGGCTCCAATATGACACCATAGGTCTCTCTCCTCCATACCAGTGATTTTCCTCGGAGAAAGCAGGTGTCTCTTGGGTGGGGAACACTTTGGATTTTTCTTTAGGGATGCTTCCCTCAAAGATCTTGTGGGAGGAGCCTGCAACTCATGATTGCTAAACATCAAGGACTAGATTGAGATTCCTGGGATAAGTCAGTGATTTGGAGGCAGAGGAATGTGCTGGGACCTGGGGCCACCTACTAGGGTTCTTTCTGTAGTCTTGGCGATGGAGAAGGCCTGTTGGCTTGGGGGGAGTCAAGCTGCTAGATTGGAGGGTGACTGCAAAGTTGAGGATAACTAGGGATGGGGGGAAGAAGATAAGAAGATCTAGGCGGGGACAGCTAGAGATCAGAAACAGGGAGAAGATGAGGGGGAAGTTGAGCAGGGAGAGGTCCCATGAAGGTGAGTAGAGAGTGAATGGCAGTTAGAAGCCAGAAGTGCTCTCCAAGGTAGCAGGTTAAGAGAGGAATCTCAGGGTGGGTGAAGATGAGGCTGCCAGGAGTTTCCTCATCTTGATTCCTGGGGAGGTCACCACACACAGAAAGGAATTTTTCTTTAACAGACTTCAATCAATCAACAAGCATTTTTAAGTGCTTAATACATGCCCATCACTGTCCTAGGTGCTGCAGATACAGATACACAAATGGAAAGTTGTAGAGGGTCAGATTTAAGGTTGGTGGTGGGAAAACCTTCTTACTAATCACAGACGGTCAGAAATGAGAGGGGCTGCTGCTTCAGGTGGTGACGAGCTTCCCTTCCTGGGGAGGATCACCACTGGCCAGGGAATGTTCTAGAAGGGATTCTCGTTCTTGGGTTGGATGAGCCTTGAGATGGCTCCCACGCCACATACAGAGATGTGTCTTGACTGCTGGGAAGGCAAAGGGCAGTGGGTAGCGGAGTCCATGTCTTTTTCTGTCCCCCAGTGACATATTTAGATCCAAAAAGCTGCTTCCAAGCTTTGGGAAGATGCTGGAGAACATCTTCTTGCCTCTTTTTGAAGCCACGATCAACCCCAGGGATCACAAAGAACTTCACCTCTTCCTCAAATACGTAAGTCAGGGCATTCTGCTGTGGGGCTCTAAGGACCATGGCTCATCCTGACATTGCCTCCTAGGTCACTCCCCTTCTTGCCCACACTTAGTTCCCAGAACAAGGAATAAAGCTAATGGCTATCACACACCCTAGTGTCCTCTTTAAAGCCCCGCCCCACTCTGGCTTGCTGCTATCTCCCAGCATTCTGGGTGGTTCATGCCCCCAAGGTAACCCTGAAGGACCCACATTCTTCTAAAGAAAACAGCTCCATGCTGGACCCTTTGGTTGGAAGATGAAAAATTGGCTAGTGCTATGGTCGCCCCCTAGTGGACACAGGGGAGAAATACATGTGTTTACTGGGCTTCCATTTGTTTGCAGACCCTCTTAGGTGGCTGCTGGCCTGAAAGAGGAGGGGGTAGGACGCAGGAATAGGGACCTTCGTCGTCTAGAGGGCCACTGATGCACAGGAGAATGTCTGCTCAGAGGTTCTTCCTGAAAAAGCTCAGGGTTCCTCTTCTCTCTTAGAGACAGAAAACGCTAACTCAATGACTTTAAACTAAGTGCCAGCAAAGAAAAAATCATTCAGTAAATACGGCTGCGACAGATATGGTTCAGCCGGATTCTGGCCGGCGTCGTGGGCTTGGGAGAGGACACAGAGGAAGAGAAGCGAAGATAGGAAGAAGGGTGTGGGCTGGAGGAGGGAGGAAAGAAAGGGGAGGGAGACGGAGAGGCAGAGATGGAGAGGCGGGACAGCGAGGCACAGGAGAGACAGCAACAAGAAGAGAGGGCGACGTGGAGGGGTTTGACTTCAGTGCCCATGCCAACAACAAACACTGGCTCCTGGCTCTGCAGCTTTGGGGGCCCTTTTGGGCTTCTCCTAGGCTCTGGGGGTAACCCCTCAGCAGAGGAAACCGCTGATTGGGAGGCTGGGCCACGGGGGCGTCCAGACTCTGAGACATGTCCTGGATTTCCTTCTTCCTTCTTCGTGTTGGGTGTTTATTCTTTCCCCCACTAGGTGACAGGCTTTGACAGTGTGGATGATGAGTCCAAACATAGTGACCACATGTTCTCTGACAAGAGCCCTAACCCAGACATCTGGACCAGCGAGCAGAACCCGCCCTACAGCTACTACCTGTACTACATGTACGCCAACATCATGGTGCTCAACAATCTCCGCAGGTAGGTGCCCGGGCATCCCCCTGCCCCGCCTCTGCCCAGGGCCTCGCCAAAGTGGACCCTAGAGGGCATGTACTTCAACTCCCTCATTTTACACATGTGGAAACTGAGGCCCAGGAGTGGAATTGCTTACCCCGACCTGGTTTTTCTTCTTCCCTTCCTAAGCTTTAACTCCATCCTCTGACTTGGTTCCCTCTTGGGCCTAACCCCTAACGTTGTCCTCCACCCACCCCTGCTCATAACTTGGGCCTAACTGACCTTGTTCTCCCCCTTGCCGGCCTTCATTTTCCTCCAAAAATCAACAGGCGTTATTAAAGTGCCTACTGTGTGCCGGCGCTATTCTAAGTGCTGGGGATACAGGGACAAAAATGATTCGTGTTGTTCATGAACAGTCCCTGCTCACAACGAGTTTGCTTTCCATCCTCCCCTACTCACAGAGCTAACCCTAACCTTTCTCTCCCAGGTCTAGACCCTAATGTGAGTCTCTCCACATACCTGCCCGTGACCCACGCCTGCCCCTTGCTCACCTTTGCCTACTGCTAAACAGTTAAGCACTTAGAACTCTGCCTTCTGTTATTTCCAAGTCCTAATCCCTAACCTTGCTCTTCCCTTGCTCCTGGGTTGAACCTCTAACCATGGCAATTAAGAAATCCTTGGTAATTTAGGAGAGAGCACTTTCAGTTGAATGATGAGTTGGAAACCAGATTGCAGAGGCTTCAGAAGAGGGGCAGAGGACAGCAAGCGGAGACACCAATGATGACAGCTCTCCCAAAGAGGAGACATCTAGGATACCGGCTAGCAGGGACGGACAGATCAAAGAGGGGTTTTTTAAGGACGAGGAGGACATGGGCATGCTTTCTTTCCTCTCTCCTTCTGTCATAGCTGGTCCTCATGAAAACAATTTTTTCCCCTTTTTTCCCTTCCTCCCTCCCTTCTCTATACCTGGCTCCTCTGAAGTCAGTGGTTGGTCAGCCTTTCCCCACAGGAGCTCTCTGAGTTAATTACTGTGCATATTTGATGAACAAAATGGCCCAAGCACAGACCTTTGAGGCCGGTTTTCTATCTTTGTGGGAAATCTGCAGACGAGTCGGGCAAAGAGAAGCACCTTGACCTGACTGGGTGGGGGATGTCTGACCTAAGCACAAGTCTATCAGCACCTCCTCCTCTTCCCAGACCAGGGGGGAAGGATGACACAGGCTGAGAGCAGGCCTCTGGGGCATGGCCAGCCAACATCTCTTGATGCCCTGAGCTGGGTTCCTGGAGGACACAGGACCTTGCTGTTCACCCCTTTGTTATTGCCTGGGATGGCCTCAGAGAGCCAGGAGAGGGCATGTAGGCAGAGCACAAGAGGATCAAGTGTTTGGGGGTGAGGGGCAGGAGGAGAAGGGTCTTGAGCGGAGATGAGAAGAGTTAAGATGAGCTGGAGCTGACAGCAGAGGGGGTGGCTTGGTGATAGATCTCACAGCAGTGCTAGTCCGCAGGGTGCTGGACAGAGGGCAGACAGGGCAACGAGAATTTGAGCCCTTAATATGTGCCATGCACTAGACAGACAAAATATAGACAAAACCAAAGACAGCCCCTGCCCTCATGGAGCTTATATTGTTGGAAGAGATGTACTCTTCTGGACCACTTTTTTTTTTTTGACCACTTGTTAAGAACACTGCACAGGAGCTTTGTTTCCAGGTATAAGGTGGGCTGGATGCCCTCTGAGTCCCTCCCAACCCCCTAGATTCAGTGACTGGTCCCCACTCTCCTCCTTTTCCTGATGGTAGGGCAATTTCCCACATGGAGAGTAACTGAGAAAGTTGGGGCTGAAGGGCCCCACTGCCCATCTGCTCCTCAGTAGCTCCTGCTGAACTAGCCCCATCTTCTGTCCCACAGAGAGCGGGGAATGAGCACCTTCTTGTTCCGGCCTCACTGCGGGGAGGCCGGTTCCATCACTCACCTGGTATCTGCCTTCCTGACTGCCGACAATATCTCCCACGGACTGCTGCTCAAGAAGGTAGGTACCCGTGCGCGTGGCTGATGTTGAGCAGATCAGCAGCGAGAAGGCCAACCTTGCCTTTTCATTGCTTAGAGCTTCTTGGCTGTGTGCTTTGGGAAGCTCCTGGCTGTACTCCTCTTGGAAGCTTTGGAAAGTTTGGATTGATGTTGGGAAGATCTGGGAGACCCTGAAAGCCCACCTGTACCCTGGTGAGAAGGGGATACTCTGTGTGGGGGCTACTCTCAGAGGGACTGCTGGGAGACAGTGCTGATAACCTGAGGAATGTCTCCAGTTGGGATTCTGAGACAGAACTGGTCCATGTTGAGGGGTTGTAGGCATCCTTGGAAGGGGCTCTGTCTGTCTGTATATGACACAGTGGATAAAACTGCTGGACGTGGGATCAAGAAGACCTGAGTTTGACTGATGCCTCAAACACCAACTAAACATATGACTGCTAGGCAAGTCCCTTAACCTCTCTGGGCCTCAGTTTCCTCATCTGTAAAATGAGGGAGTTGGATTCAATGACCTTTAACATCCCTTTCAGCTCTAAATTTAAGATCCTATGATCCATGGGCCATTTGTACATGCTACTCAAATCTCTCACTCTTCTCCCACCCCTTGCCCATGCATGGGTCTGGCCCCATGTGAACTCAGCCTCAACAATTTCCATTTTTTTCTTTTTGGACAATAAAAAAAAAACAAATTAAAAAAAAGCAAACATTGCTGTGATTTCCCAGTGACTACTCTTCTCACTCCCAATCAAACTCTCCCATGTAACAGATACACAACTAAGCAAAACAGAAATGTAGAGGTCACGTTTGCAATGTATGCCTCATTCCACCCTCATGGACAACGACCTCTCTTCCGAGAGGGACGCTTGCTTCGTGGCAAGGCCTCTGAAGTCAGGCATGGTCACTGTGCCGACCACAGAGTTTTCATTGCTTGTGGTCACTCTGGACAATGTTGTGGATCTACTAACTGCTCTGCATCAGTTTATACAAGTTTCCTCAAGTTTCTCTGAATTTTTCCTATTTATCTTTTCTTGAGTCTGCTTACTTTCCATGAGGTTCAGCAGACTTTAGCTGTGCAAAGCACCCAGGCTTCAGTGACAATGGTCAGTGGCATTCCAGGACCTCATAGGGGTTAAGTGGGATGACGTCTATAGTGAGATCCTTCACCTTGATGGCAGAACTGGAATCTCCTGCGATTCCAGTCTGGCCCTGAAAGATGGTCTTTCTAAGGCTGCTGATCCTGCCACAGGGGCTGACTGTGTTCCTGGGATATATTTCAGGGACCTTGAACTGAACCCTTCCTCCCCTGGAGCTGGGACTGGGAAAACTCAGCAGTCAATGAAGGCCCCCGTTGGGGAGCCTGGAGTTGGGGAGGGCTTCCTCTTATGTGTGGCCTTTGGACAGAGGTTAAAAGGGCCTCTTCCAGAGCAAGCTGGGAAATCCCCAGGAACCAAGTGAAAAAGTTTTTATGTTGGTTCAGGCGACAGGTGCTGTGGTTGAAGGGAGGCTGACCCAGAGATTCAGACACTTGGAGGGTGGGGCCTGAGAGGACCCACCAGCAGGGAGGGCTCCAGGCTGGAGCCTCACAGTTCCCATGGAGTCACTAAGCTGTGGCGTGGCGGGGATCTCACACATCCTTTCAAAACAAACACTGCCCAGACACAGCAAGCCGAGGCTTTGTTTCCACTGACGAAATCCTTCTTTTCCTGTTATCTGGAATTGCCTTGAGTAATGATGACAGATCCCTCTTCTGTTTTTCCCCAGAGTCCAGTCTTGCAGTACCTCTATTACCTTGCCCAGATCCCCATCGCCATGTCTCCCCTCAGCAACAACAGCTTGTTCCTAGAATATTCCAAAAACCCATTGCGAGAGTTTCTGCACAAGGGTCTCCACGTCTCCCTCTCCACTGATGACCCCATGCAGTTCCATTATACCAAGGTGAGCGAGCACTGGGGAGGGGCTTCTCACCACTGGTCAGATTCCCCAGATCCAGGCAGTGACAGCTCTTGCTTATTCTCTTGAAGAGAAATTGTGGGAAAGAAAGCCTGTGAGAGTGAATTGACACACTCCATAAGGTGACACAGTGGGTAGACAGCACTGGACCTGGAGTCAGGAAGACCCAAGTTCAGATATGCCTCTGATGCCGGGTGACCCTGGGTGAATCACTTAACCTCTCTCAGCCTGTTTCTTCAACTGTAAAATGGGAATAATGATAGTCCCTACCTCCCAGGGCTGTTCTAAGGATCAACTGAGATAATATTTAAGTGCTTACTTAGCACAGTGCCTGGCACATAGCAGATGCTAAATAAATGCTTGCGTGTGCCCTCTCCACAGGGCCCCCAAGAATGTCCTCGCTCCTTCTAGTAGTAGCTATAGTAAAGCTTAGACTATTGAAGATGAACTTTACTATTTATTCATTATTCAAACATTTAAATGCCTACTATGTGCCAGGCCTTGGGGGATACCCATGGTAAGGCAAGTAAGAAGAGGCAAGATAGTAGGACTAGAACCAAGTGATTAGTGGGATGAGGACCCAAGGAAGAAAGAATATTCAGGAGGAGAGGCTGGTCAACACTGTTAAGTGCTTCGGAGAGACCAAGGAAGATCGGAATTGAGAGAAGGCCATTGGAGTTGGCAATTATAAGGCCACTGGTATAATCTGGGAGGCCAATTTTTGTCTTGCTTGTGACAGCTGGGAATGGATTCCAAGCCCCATACAGAGGGAGCCATATTGCTGGTGATTCCTGAACCTAAGGCCTCTCTCTTCCACACCTCCAGTAGAAAAGCATCTTTATACACTTAGTAGTGAGCAGTGTTTGGTTGCCAAGAGAGCTCCCTCTCTCCAAGTCGATCCTCAGCTATGCTGAAGCTTAAATAAAGCTTTAGAAAGCTGCCTCAAGCCCAGGGTCACAGAGCCAGGATGTCTCAGAAATGAGACTTGAACTCAGGTCTTTCTTCCTGATTCCCAGGCCATCTCTGTATCCACTATACCATCCTGCTTCTCACCTGGCATATTGCAGGAGCCTAATAAATGTTTGATGGATTCGATTGAATTTCAGGAAGCCATGAATTAAGGCCTTTGTGAGTCTGGAAGCCAGAAGGCTTTCTTTCCCACAGTTTCTCTTCAGAAGCCTCAAGGGTCCCTGCAAATTCTCCTCACCGTTAGGATGTTTCTGACTTGAGTTTTGGCTTGGGGCTCTCCCACGAGCTCCACAGCCTAGTGAACGTGATTTTTCGTGGGGGATTGTTTGGTGGGGTGTTTCTACAGGAAGCCCTCATGGAAGAATATGCAATCGCAGCCCAAGTGTGGAAGCTCAGTACATGTGACCTGTGTGAGATCGCTCGGAACAGTGTGCTCCAGAGCGGGCTGTCCCACAAGGTGAGTGGGGTCTGCCGGCTGGGAGGGGATTTGGGAGGGAAAATCACAGGAAGGTTTCCAGCCCTTTGGAATGCTCAGTGTGGATGCAGGCAGTGGAGGGAAGCGTGGGCTTGTGCTCCATGGCCTGGAGATAATACTATCTGTCATTTAGACAGCATGTTCAAGCTTGCAAAGTGGTTTGCATTCATGAGCCTCACAAAAGGTGCTGGGATACTCAGTCCATTTTACAGATGGAAGTGGGGCTCAGAGACATGAGGAACTTGCTGAAGCTCTGAGATAGCTAGATTTCTCAGGCAGGATTTAGACCCCGGTATTTCTGACCCCATATGCAGTCCTTTTGCCACTAAGTCATAAAGCTGGTCAGCTGCCTGGGCCCCCCCAGGTCTTTTTGACTAGCTTGGGGGGCGGGGGAAATACAGCCTGCTGATCTCTGGGACTGAGTGGTCTGATCTAAGCGTTTTTCAGGAAGGCACAGAAGCTCCACGCCATCTGCAGTAGCGGCCCTTTGCTTGCTGCCTTCACTCCCCAGTGTCCAGATTGAAGTGTTTCTTTTCAGTCGAGGTCTCTGCCACCAGGGTCTCTTCAGATCAGGTTTACCTTTAACAATAATCTTTTCAATGCCTCCTCTGTAAAAGGCATTGGGATGGATGATAGGGGAGACCCAAAATGTCAGCAAGACACTTCCTGACCTCAAGGACCTTCCTGTTTTACACCATCATCCTCGTGCCCCCTGAACCTTCTTCCCCAGAGAACCTCAGCCTTTTCAGCTTGCTTTTGTGCAGTGTCTTCCGCCATTAGGTTATGAGCTCCTGGAGGGCAGGGATTGGCTTTTTCTTATTTGTATCCCCAGTGCCTAGCACAGTGCCTAGCACATAGTGGGTGCTTGATATCTATCATATTGTATTGTCTAATAAAGAAGGTGATATGATACGTACAAAATAGATATTAAACACTTTGCAAACTTTAAAACAGGATAGAAATATTAGCGTTTAGTTTATATCATAATCATTATCAGAATAGCTGTAGCTCAGGCTGCCTCCAGAACGTATCTGTATCCACCATATTTGGCTATCTGGTGGCCCTGAATGCCAGGTGGAACGGGCATGGCACAAAACTTACATTAAGTTTTGATGCCAGGGTGGATGTACTAACGTCTGAGTCACGTAGGATACAGAAGAAAGTAGATTCTAAGCTGTTTAGTGGCAGGTTTTGCCTTTGTCTCTGTATCCCCAGCCCCAGTCTTATAGGGTAGTGGGGACTTGACATTCACTGAATTGACTTTGCAAGTGCTTTGGGCTTAATCTGTGTGTGTTACTTTGTCCACAGGAAAAGCAAAAATTTTTGGGGCCCAATTATTATAAAGAAGGACCTGAAGGAAACGATATTCGAAAGACAAATGTTGCCCAGATCCGGATGGCTTTTAGATATGAGACTTTATGCAATGAGCTGAGCTTTCTGTCTGATGCCATGAAATCAGAAGAGATTACAGCTTTGTTTAAGTAGGTTCAGTGTTGGGATATGCCCCTGGAAAATGCTGGTCTCAACCTTGCCTGTTGTGGTGGATGCTGGTCAAGGGGAGCCTGCTCAGGACCAAACAGGGCCTCCCTGGAAGTGAAGGCTCAGGATGCTGCTCAGGGGCCTCTCACTTTGACCTCCATTCTCCTCATTCTAGCATACCTGGACCCAAGGTGCCAAGACATTGCACTGTCTGGGTGCAGTGGGGCCTGGGGACTGCCTTGGGGAGCTGGCTTGGTTTGTACTTTTTTCTTAGTTTTCCAGACCCTTCTAAGAAGACTGCCAGTACTTGCATGAAAGGGATTGTACTTTCCACTGTCAGAGGCCATACTGTATTGCCAATCAGCTCTCTGGCCCTAAATGGCGGGTGGAATAAGATACAGCCAGTAAGTTTTGACTAAGTTTTGCTTTCTTTTTTAAAAAGTATTTTTACTAATCACTTTTGTTCAGATTTCCTTCACCATTATAAGCATTCATGCACAGGATCACAGAATAGAACAGGAATGTGCTGTAGGGATGATCTAGTCCAACCCTCTCATCTGACAGATGAGGAAGCTGAGGACTAGAAGAGGTAAGGACTTGCCGAAGGTCACAACATGGAGCCCAGTCAACAAAACAGTCCTTGCAGGACACCATACTGCCTCCATGAATTATGTGGGCTTGCTTTCTGAAAGCCCCTTTTCACCGAAGTCTCTGAGAGGCTTGAAACAGAAAGCTTGGTCCCACTTAGGAAAACAAAGGGAGGTACAGGGACCTAACCCTGGAGCTAAAGGGAACCTGGGAGGTCAGGGAGAGGCAGTGGCCTGGCCAAAGTCACGCAGCGAGTGCTTGTAAGTCAGCATTGGGACCTTCCTCTATGACATACCGCCCCACTCTCCAGTATTACTTTTGTTTTCTGTAATTCATATCTCAGAAATAACCAGGATCCTCGGTCTTTTTTTTCCCCCTCTTTTTAAAGAATGAAGACCTGGGTTTATCATCTCCCTAAACAACATAGGAAATATTTCCCTTCCACATAACCAGAGATCTTCAGCTGGTGACCTCAGTGATTAGACAAGGAGGGACAATTAAGTGGACTAGTAAAAGATAGTAAAGTGATTCTTAGAATAGAGATCTGAATTTAAACTCTCCCAATTTATTCCCTGCCAATGTTTGAATGTCATGTGCATATGGTAACTAGAAAGCTGCTGGAGCTTACTAGTAAGCTCCCATGTATTTCTGTAGGCACACACAGACCCAGAGAAGCTGTTACAGATTTAGTGGAACCTATGCTTGTGTGCAAAAATGGTTAATAGACTTCAGATCCTTCTTGTTACTTTCTCTAGCCACAGAAATATGGGGGCTGTTGGTTTTTGCAACAAAATAATTTTTTGAGTCAAAACTCCTTGCCCACTTTGGCATGTAACTTTCTTAGAAAAGCCCCAATTGTATTCATTTGCACTAATGTATATAACTATTGTACAGTGTGATTTTAGATGTTTAGAGGCACCCTGTTTAAAAGAAATGGAATTAAAGTTTGTTGAGACAATTGCTCAATCATGTGAACATGTTTTCAGATGTCAACATTGTTAGAGCTCCCTTATTTTCTTCTTAAGAAAGTGTGTGGGGGGGTGGAGAAGGGAAGACTAGGGGAAGCATTACCCTAAATTAATGGAATGCAGCAGGTGTATATCTTCCTAACCTTGGAAGATATCTGCTGCAAGCAGGGTCAGAGGACAGGGCCCACTGGCAGTGGCCTTCTGGGTTTTCACCAGTAGCCAAAGGCAATCCCCAGTGTCTGGTTTTTCACCAGGGTCACAGGGCTGCACACAGAATACCCAGAGTGCCTCTGCTGGGAGTGGCTAGCTGCTTTCTCTTCCTTTCTTCTGTGCTTTGCTCAAACATGCCTGGGGTGGACTCTTTTCATTTGCAGATTTGTTTGCTGGGCAGGGGCTGTTCTAGATTTACACAGCCCTTCTTCACTCCTGAATGTTCTTGGTGCCAGTGTGTTTCTTTCTGTCCAGTGGCATTTACCGGTTTTTGTTCTGGTGACTGCCAAGTCTGTCTGCTGGGTTGGTAGCAAAAGAATATGCTGCTTTTCCAAGGTGTGGCCTTCTCAAAGACAGCTCTGGAGGTTTATCTTCTCTCCCTCAACCTAACCAGCCTTAGTTACTTTCTTAGTAACTTTACTTAACTTAGTAGCTTGCCTTTTTGCTACAAATTATTGCCTTATGAACACAATTCACAGCCTCCTGAGTCACCCACCGTTCTTTCTGCCTTTTACCTTCTGCTCTTGGAGATACAGCAGCAAGGCACGTTCTTCTGAGATGGGGTTAAGTATTTTACTTCCTCTTCAGTTAATTTGGGCAATTTATATTTTTGTAAACATGTATCCATTTCACTAAGATTGTCAAATTTGTTGGCATATAGTTGGGCAAAATAATTCCTAATTATTGTTTTAATTTCCTCTTCCTTGGTGGTAGTTTCACCCTTTTCATTCTTGATACTAGTAATTTGGTTTTCTTCTTTCTTTTTTTAAATTAAATTAACCAAAGGTTTATCTATTTTATTGGTTTTTTCATAAAACCAGCTCTTAGTTTTATTAGTTCAATAGTTTTCTTAATTTCAATTTTATTAATTTTTCCTTTGGTTTTCAGGAAAAATTTCTAATTTGGTGTTTAGTTGAGAATTTTTAAGTTGTTCTTTTTCTAGTTTTTTTTAGTTGTATGCCCAATTCATTAATCTCCTCTTTTTCTATTTTATTTATGTAAGCATTTACAGATATAAAGCTTCCCCTAAGAACTGCTTTCACTGCATCCCATAGGTTTTGGTATGTTGTCTCATTATTGTCATTCTCTTGAATGAAATTATTGATTGTTTCCATGATTTGTTGTTTGACCCAATCATTTTTTAGGATTAGATTATTTAGTTTCCAATTATTTTTTAGTCTATCTTTCCATGGCTCTTTATTTCATATAATTTTTATTGCGTCACGATCTGAAAAGGATGCATTTAATATTTCTGCCTTTCTGCATTGGACTGTGAGGTTTTTATGCCCTAGTACATGGTCAATTTTTGTGTGTGTGCCATGTACTGCCGAGAAAAAAGTGTATTCCTTTCTATCCCCATTCAGTTTTCTCCAGAGGTAAGGCACGTTCTTCTGGACTGGTCTGGTCTTTGACTTCTTGCTGCTTGAGTAAAATCATCTTCATCTTTTTTACTCATTTCATGGACATAATTGAGTGTAATTAGATAATGTCAGCAATCCACTCTATTTGAACAGTGTTTTAAAGGCAGTGGTAACTACATTAAAAAGAATATTAACTACACGGAATCTGGTTCTTTGCTGTTTTTGTTTTTCCTTTCTAGAAACACCCAGGGCAAGTGCTGTTAACAGGGGAAGAGTTATACTCTAAAAACCAGGAGAGGGCCTCCAGCGGGATCCTGCCTGGATGAAATGGCCATCAAGACTTCCAGCTTTGAATCGATGGCTTTCAATCTGAGTTACAACTCTTTACAAAAATGCCACATGCTGCTCCTCGGCAATGATCTCCATGCACCTAGCTTTACACCTTACCACAGCAAAGCCGAGTCTCCACAGACAATGGGTTTTTCTGACTTGTGAAAGACATGAGTTTGAACCCAACCTCTGACCCTTGTCAGCTGTGTGATCCTACCTTAAAGGCACCTCTCAAGGACTTAACTTGAGTCATCAGAAGAGATCATAATTCCCATGCCCTTGTTTCACTATGCTGAGCAAATCATAGATATTTGAATCTTTCATATATATATATATATATATATATATGTGTATATATATATATGTATATATATATATGTATATATATATATATATATGTGTATATATACATATATATATGTATATATATATGTATATATACACATATATATACATATATATATGTATATATATGTGTATATATACACATATATATATACATATATATATATACACATATATATACACACATATATATATATACATATATATATATACATATATATACACATATATGTATATATATGTATATATATGTATATATATGTATATATATGTATATATACATATATATACATATATATACATATATATACATATATATGTATATATATGTATATATATATATGTATATATATATATGTATATATATATGTATATATATACATATATATATGTATATATATATATAGCATATAAGTGTGAATCTTTGCTTTCACTCTAGTCCCTAGTCATTCTGAAAAGACATACAAGGTACCCAAATCAAACACAACCACAAGGCATAGTGTAGCGGTTATCTTTACTACTTTCCACAAATGATAAAAGGACAACAGTCTTACACAAGAGATTACCCTTGAGTTTTCATTCACACAGACATCTCTGCTCCCATGCCCACCACACAGATGTTTAGCTAATTCTCCCTGTCTTTTAAATGGTTTTCTCTCAATTCTTTGGTAAATATAGTAAATGTGGCTTATTTAAGAAAATCAAAATTGGAACTTGAATTGTTTGAAACAAGCCTGGCCCTCCCCAGCACTCCAATTATTCACCAATACTGCTTAGAACTACTTCCAATATGGACTGGGGCAGTATGCGGCAGCTGGTTCACCACCTGCTGTCAGTACCTTACTTATCACCCCAAGCAACCTGGGCACGGGGAGGACTGGCCACAGGTCAGTCAGAAGTACCACTAGAGCCCAGTGTACACCCCTCTAAGGAATGTCAATTTATAGTCAATCCACAGACCCAACCAATCACAATACACAATAACAATAGTAAACCACACAATTGTAAGAGAAAAAACTGTCAATGACCATCTTTTCCTCTCCACAAGACATTATTTATTGCACAATTCATCCATCTGTCCTAGCTGCAAAGTCAGATGTGACTTTCCTTTTGGGAAGCTTGAGAAAGTCACTTCAATAAGGAAGCACTGCTATTTTAACAGCTCCTCCTCATATTCAAGCTCATCCTAGCACATTAAAACTGTATAGTTATCAGTAGATTGCGGGACCCTTTTAGTGCATTTAAGAAAAGGACATTTTGTCAGTTAACAACCTGTCCGTCAGAGTGAGTGCACGAGAGATGATCACCAGCTCTGGAAGGCACGAGTTACACCCCAGTCCCTACCTCCTGGCGCAGCAAGTGCATTTTAGTACTTTCTAATTACAAAAGATTTAAGAGTATAAGATAAAAAAAAGTTTACATCCTCACCTTCAAGCAAAATTACAACTTATCCTGCAGTAGAAACTACACTTCATTCACATGCAAAGCAAAAACTGCAAGGCTTCGTAGAGTCAGCAAAGAAATGGGGTTTCACTTTCCCATTCATTTTGACGAGGTTAGTGAAAATACATGATGATCCTGCAAAGCAGTCGGTGTTTTGCAAAATGGGAGGCTTTGTTAATATCAGATTTCCTCAGTGCTTTCGGCTGGTCGTTAACTCCCTGAAAGAGAAAATATATGTAGAAGGAAATGGTATAAGGCCAGCCTGTGGAGATGGCACAGTGAAAGTCAGCCAAAGAAAGTGTTTCTGCTGAGGGAATGCTGTCAGTGTGACGATGCTGTGGAGAGAGGCCTGCCAACGGACTCAGGAAGACCTCGACTCAAATCCTGCCTCAGGCACTAGCACGGGCAAATTATTTCCCCTCTCTGAACCTCAGTGTACCCATCTGTAAAATAAGGGAAACTAGAGGAGGTACCTTGACAGGGCTGTTGTGAGGTTTTAATGAGATAATGTATATAGAGTGCTGAAACTGCTTTATCAGTTATTGTTATCATGTACACTCACTGCCTAGTAAGAAGACACAAGGAAGTTTATATAAGGAGTTGGGGAGTGGGGCCTGCAAACCTGTGCAGGTTTCATCCTCGCTCTGTGGCTGTGCTTCTCATTATGACCCTCATCCTTATAATTGTAGCCCCTTTCACATATTCCAAATATAAACATCCTGGCCTTTAATGAAATTACGAGAAAAAACAGGAGTGGGAAAACGAGGCATTTCACAATTAGAAAAGTAGGTTTGAAGATGTGAATGCCCTAGAACCAGAGCCTGCTTAAGAATACAATTTCTCAAGTTAGGCACTCACTTCTAGACACACTCAGTGAGTGCCACTGAAATCCAAATAAAGTCCAGACACCACCGCTGACTGTGTTTTCTATGGTTCATTTTAAAACAGACAGCAAACCATTTGGTTTTCTTGGCAATTCTATTTTTAAGCAAGGCCAAAGTATTATACAGTATACATATATGTGACTATTAAAAAGTAGCTTGAATTAGTCTTACAAAGACCACTTCTATAAGTCAAATTCAGAAAACAAATCCAGATTTGGCCCTAGGGCACTCAGCCCACCAAACATTCCTCTGCTAGTAACTGAATCACAAATCTGAAAAGTGGCAGAATCTGTGTAAGCCACTCCCCAGACCCTTTCCCTACATCTGAGGGGAGAATAATATCAATAAGAAAGGAACACATTTTTTTCTATGAACGGATCATTAATTTTATTTGCACACTTGCTAAAAAATGGAAGAACCTTCTATTTATACGT